GCATACGCGTCGCTCGCAACCGATATGTCAAGGTCGTGAGAAAAGATGGCAAATTTCAAGATGGCGGAATACAGTTGACATATTGCCTGTAGTTTAGATAAATTAAATTCGCTACGGAGCGATTCCATAACGATCTTAAAAAAGGATTTCTTTACAATATTATTAAGTCATTTTAATTAATACTTACTTGTTTTTTTTGTATAATTTGTTCTAAAAGAGAATTAACAGTTTAAAAATTTTCTCATTCGGTGCAATAACGGAAAGACACGTCTCAAATGCGAAGCTATTCCAACTACAGTCTGATGAGTGTGCTGGAGGACTCATTTTAGTTTCCTTCCCATATTTTTATTAGTAAGTTACTGGAAATGTATTTGACAGAGGAAGGGAGCCATAGTAAAGAGAAATATTCTCTTTTTTTCTACCATACCATAGATTTTGATTTTATTTTATTTTGTAAGTTCTCTTTTGGTACAAATTATTATATTCTAGATTACTGAACACAGACCTCGACCATAGATAATTAATTTTAAATTACCTTTTAATTTTCATTGTTGAAAATATTTTATTTGTCCTTATCTGACTTTATTATAATTATTGATTGTTGAAACTAAATAAAAATTATTACTAATTTTAATTTATTTATTTATGTTTAGATATTGGTGGCATCAATTTAAACGTAATATATATTATTAAAATCTTATTTCAATCTTTTACTGTAAACATATGTATGGAGACAGTTTAAAATAACGCAAAAGAAAGCACAAAATTTAGACATAATAAGAATTTTGCGAATGACACGCTTTCATTACAAAGTCAAGTGTCAGAATGATTAGTGAGGGGACATCGACATTTTAGTAAAGCTAGTGTTGCGCCAGTACACCGGCACAGTGTCGGATTTACATCCTAACAAAATCAATTAAAAATATAAAGATAAGTCTGAGCAGTTGTGCTAAACATTTAATGGTCACATTATCGTAATTCAATAACATGGCAACATTTAATTCAACTTAAAGCAACACATATTAAAAACATCCATTGGCTTAAACGATTAATTACCACCGCGTCAGATAACGCTTGTCTTTATTGCCGTCTCTTTTGTTCTCTTTGAAAACAAAAAAAGACAACAATATATTCACAAAGGTATTGTTAAAAATATTAAAATTATTTCCATTTGAAGCTAAACAATTGTGATTTATGTATAATTCTAATTTTGCTATTCTTTACCCAACCTTTTCTTATATGGAAAAGTGGATTAGACAGGGGAGGAGACACATAGGAAGGGGAAATATTATCTTTCTATGCGTCTTCTTTCATTAAAGGTAACTGCAATTGCGGATCGTTTCGCCATTTCGGAGAATACAAATGATCGCTTATTTATATTACAATGTGTTTCCACCGTTTAACTTGTATAAAAACATGTTTAATTACTTAAATTAAATGATATTATTTAGACATTTAGATTATTATACGAGTTTTTTTATTTGATTCTCTAAAATTACTTATCCATCATAATGTTCTTTTTTTTCCAATGAATAATAATAATTTTATAAATATTTCGTCAGTTTATAATTTGACTAAGATTAATATAGAAAAAAAAATATCTAGGTACACAATTAGTCGATTGTAGTGTACGTAAAATGATAAAATAAATGATTATATAATTTAATCGTCAGTTCATAATATGACTAGTTAGATTATAAACTGACGAGAGGAAAGAGTTTACGATTATAATTCAAGTTACTTTAACTTGATGATTTCCTTGTAATTTATCTATACAATATGATTAGTGAGATTATAAACTGACTGAAATACACAATAAATAGGCGATCAATCAATCTACAGTCGAATCATTGTCTTCATTTTTAGTAGTGATATGAAATGCAATAACAGGAATCGAACCCAACACCATACAGGAACCCATGCCGTAGAAACACCAAGAATACCCACCTGTTATATCACGAACCATACCTGCAAAAATTAAAACAATTAATTCTTTCTCAGGAAATGTTTGACAGGGGAGGAGACACGTAGGATGTGGAAATATTCTGTTTCTGTGCATATACTCCTTTAAACCTAACTAATTGTAACTCTTTCACAGGAAATGTTTGACAGGGGAGGGGACACATAGAAAGAGAAAATATTCTCTTTTTGTACATCCACTCATTTGAAACTGTCTAATTGTAACTCTTTCAGAGGAAGTGTTTGACAGGGGACGAGACTCATAGGAAGGGGAAATATTCTGTTTCTGTGCGTCCACTCATTCATCAACAAAAGGCAACGCTGCCCATAGACACCTACAAGCACACATGTCTATGGACAGCAGTTGCTTCGCTATTTCAGCAAATTCAAGTGGACACTTGCTACACTTAGGGGAAGAATACGAATTCACTTCACACTTTTTTTATTTCAAACCGAATGCTTTTTAAATTGTGGTCAAATTTTGCAGTGAAAAGCTAAGAAATCTTTTGAGTTCCCTTCCTTCCTAACTATCACTCGAGACTCCGTTGTTGCGGGATAAAAAAAAAACACTATTATTACCCTATGTGTTCTTCCAGACTATGTATATGTATGACAAATTTCATCAAGATTAATTCAACCGTTCTGGAGATACATTCAAACAAACATCTAAACATTCGCATTTATAATATTAGTAAGAAGTAATATTGAGGTTAACAGCTCTCACCATGCCTCTTTGAGATGCCATGTTACTTACCAGCAGTTGGTGGTACGGAAACTGCGGCTAAACTCTGGAACATTCTAACAAGGCCGTAAGATGAGGCGATACGTGCTGTCCCAAATGCATCCGCTAACAGAACTGGGACAAGTAGAAACCAACATCCCAGACATAGACCATATGCACCTGCCGACAAATATCTATGTTGAAAACTAACTTAATTAGTAGCTTATGTGTTCTTCCTGACTATGTTCTACATCTATGACAAATCTCAACAAGATGTATGCAGCCGTTCTGGAGATATCTTCTAACAAACATACATCTATACATCCAAATTCTTTCCATCATCATCATCTGGGCACTATATATCTCCACTGAGGGTCTCAGAGTCTACCCTAAGTGAGAGTATGTGATAGTGAATGTTGGTGCAGTACAAGACTTGACACATATGTTTGAGTTTGTCAGATATGTGCAGCATCACGATGTTTTCCTTCATCGTAACAACATAGGATAAATGTACATATGTAAATGTAACACATTCATACATGACGGGATAACAACACAGGACCTGCTTATAAGTCAATTGCTTAACTCTTAACCAAATAGATTTAATAAAATTTGAACTTTACCTGAAGCAATCGCCAGCGCCCACCATGATGACAAACTTGGCAGAGTTAATACAGCAGCTCCCGCAACCAGAATACTGTTGACATTACACACGAGGTCATTTGATATTGACAAAATCAGCAAGATTCAGTCACCATGTCCCGAAGCTCCCAAATAAATTCTCACCAGAATTTATAACTCCACTAGCCCGCGATTCCGTCATAATTAAAAAACTTAATAGCCTACGTGTTCTACCAGACTTTGTTCTACATTTGTACCTAAATTCATAAAGATCTATGAAGCAGTTCTGGAGTTACCTTCTAACAAACATCCATCTAAACATTCATCATCAGCTCACTATACGTCCCCACCGAGGGGCTCGGAGCCTACCCTAAGTTAAGGGTGATTAGGTCATAGACAACCACGCTGACCAAGTGCAGGTTGACTTCACACATATCTTTGAATTTCTCAGATATGTGCAGCATCACGATGTTTTCCTTCACCGTAACAACATAGGATAAATGTACATATGTAAAATCTGAATTCGAAAAACACATTGGTACATGGCGGGATTCGAACCCAGGACCTGCAGATTGCAAGTCCAATGCTTGACCACTGAGCCACCGACGCTCACATCATCGCTCTAAACATTCACATTTATAATATTAGTAAAGACAAAATATAATTAATCAATACAAACCTGAGAATATACGCCTTTCTTCTGCAGAACAGATGCAGGTCACATAACCAACCAAGACCTAGACGTCCGCATAAATCTAGTACTGCACTGATTGCTACTAGACGACCTAGAAATAACAAGACCTTGATTAAAATATGACAGAGTTAACAGTGGTAGAGCACACTTTAAATTCGCAGGAATTCCATCTTTCTCTTCACAAGTGTGTCAAGTGCACTTACCAGCGGCAGATTTGCTATGTCCAGCTGCAACAGTATACGCGGGCAGATAGTAAAGGGCGTATGGAGAACCACAAGACATCAGTGCTACGGATGCACATAGCAGACCAAATCTCCACGATTTGAGGAGTGACACGTCCAGATATCTGAGGAACAGAATACTTTTTGATAATAAAAAACATGAAAACTCAGGGGTAAAATACGACTCAAATGACATCTCACTAGTCAAAATCAGTGCAGTCTTTTAGGCTACAGACAAAGATCTTCATAAAAAGAATAGCTATTGCCCGCGACTCCGACCGCGCGGAATTAAAAAAAGTAATTAGTAGTCTATGTGTTCTTCCAGACTATGTTCTACATCTGTGACTTCTGGAGATACATTCTAATAAACATCCATCTAAACATTCACATTTATAATATTAGTAAAATTAACTGACCTTGAAATCTTATCAATACATCCATGTTTCTTATCTTCTACTTCTGTATTCTCTTCTTTCCTTACTTCCTCTTTCTTCGTATCAATCACCGGCTCTGATAGTTGGTTCTGGATCAGGCGACTTGGTAACGGTGGCCGAATGTATAAGGATCTGGAAGAAGAAGAATTTCTTCACAGAATACTTGCTCAGGAATTGTATCGATTTAAAATTTTACTTAAAAGTTTATGGCGCAGTGGTTAAGCATTGAACATTTTGCTGCAGCTGTAATTCGCAACTTTGTTAGAAAAAAAAACGGTAATAAAAAAACATAATTAGTAGTCTATGTGTTCTTTCAGACTATGTTCTACATCTATGTCAAATTTCATTGAGATCCATGCAGCCGTTCTGGAGATATCTTCCAACAAACATACAACATATCCCGGTTCCCAAAACCAGTAACGTGAAAGACAAAAAAAAATAATCTGCATTCTCCATACCTACTGAGCTTTCTTCGACTTGCCTTGTAGACACATGTACTATCTGTAGACAGATCTTCAACTGAATGCAGGATGGATGATGACCTGGTTGGTCTGAGACGAAGACGAGCTACTTCTCGTGGTAGACCTGTTCAGATATGTTGATTTTAACAATGGTAGACGCCAACAATATGCATTCTGTACTTCATACGCTGCAATACCACGAGCAAACAGAAGACATGCCTCAAGTGGAAGCAATTCCAAATAAAGTCTGATGAGTGTGTGCCTGAGGAATTACTTTACTCCTCTTTACCTTTCCATCCTTGTCTTATAACGAAAGGATGGGAAGTGGAAATGGATTTGATGGAGGATAGAACGGATAAGTGGACCAACTCTTTCTGTGCGTCTCCTCCGATAATTAAGAGTAGGCAACGAATCTGCAATTGCATGTCTATGGGCAACGGTCGCGAAATCGTACGCTCCGAAAATTCTTCCACGAGAAAAGTTTCGGTTGTCCAGTTTGTCAATTGTAACCCATAGCAGTTCTGATTCTGTGCGTTTATGTTTTAAAGATTTAAAATGCTAGTAATGTCCGCTCTAAAGTAGTTTTAAATTCGAATTTCTTTGTCTATATCAGATGAAACTAAGAACAGGGATTGTTATAAAATTAATACATAACATTACTTACCTACTACACCCAATACATCCAAACCTTCAGAATCTTCTGAATCCGAGAGCTGAGATGGTAAAGGAGGTCGAGCAACCTACAATTGAAAATATGTCTTAAGCTAAACGGCTAAAACACTAACGTAGGTACGTCCAGTGTCGGTACCGACTATGAGCTCGTCGTCGGCCCTTTTTCTGGGTGCGTTAGACTAGTTAGTGCCGACACTGGACAGATATGTGAGTGTTTATCAATTATCAATTACGACCACAAGGAAAAAATCAGCTACCTTCCCATCCAAGTACCGTAAAAATCGTTCCAGCCGTACCGGAAATTACCCGAAATAAATAGATTTTTGTTATTCATAGAAATGTGATTTTTTTTTCAGTAAACAGTTTTATTATATTTAAGGATAAAAGTCATAAACATTAAAAAGGTATACATGTTTAGCTCAAATCAAACTTTATTTTTTGGAGTAGCACAGATATTTTTCCTGAGTTGTAAGGTCATGGACAACTGGTAAATAGACTGCAGTAGTTAAAGTTGCTGGAGGATCCTGGGTGCGTGGCACAAGACTGATCATGACGATGGGGAATACCTATGCCCAGCAGTAGACGTTATATCATAAGAAATCCTGGTTACGTAACATCCGAAAGTGGACTGAAAAGCCCTACAACTGTCACACGTCGCAAGTGATGAAAGAAAATATGGAGAAATTGATCACCAACCTTCGTTAGTTGGAGAAGCACCTAAAGAAAAGGAAGGGCATATGGCTGAAAAGACGATGATAAAGAAGGAAAAGAAAAGACATTTACCTCAATAAGACTTGGATGTATAATTTCTGTAAGCAAATTAGTTCTCTTGTCATCACTTAGTAATGCGTTCTTCTGATTCAAAGCCAATTCTGGGTCCGTCTGGAAGAGGTTCACTAATTTGTTGTCTTTATTCAAATCAGCTTTACCTGAAAATAGTATATTGTTAGCTATAGTTTATATTTAGTGAGATTTTATCCGAGAAGCAGCTGTCCCTTTTGCCCTCTCCTGGCGACATACATGAATGAATATTTCTATCACATACCTTCTTGTATATCATGTAAAAGGGTGGTATTCTCCGTGGTGGTGGTGGTGACGGGTGTGACGGGGCGGGGTGTGGGCGGGGCGCGGTACAGCGTCGCCGACACGCACACATGCAGCATGCCGCCGCCTGCACACACACGCATAGTTGTACTTACATGAATCGTACGGGAAACCAGATTAAAGAGTAAAAATCCTGATGCTTAACTGTTTCTTACTAATTACGAGTTACCAGATATATATTACAACTTATAAACGAGCTTCATGCTACGAGTATTGTCCTACGAATTTCGTGACAAAAGACTTAAGCTACTAGTATCATGCTGCGAGCTTCGTGATAAAAGATTCTTGCTACGAGCATTGTGCTACAAGAATCGAGCTACGAGCTTCATAACACGAGACTCATGCTACGAGTATCGTGCTACGAGCTCATAACAAGTGACTCATGCTACGAGTATCATGCTGCGAGCTTCGGTACAAACGACTCTTGCTACGAGCATTGTGCTATGGGTATCGTTCTACGAGCTTCATAACAATAAACTTATGCTACGAGTATCGTGACAAGACTGATGCTACAAGCATTGTGCTATGAGTAGCGTGCTACGATCTTTCTTACTAAAGATCCATGCTACGAGCCTCGTGTAAAATGACTTGCTACGTGCACTGCGCTACGAGTATCGTGCTACGAGCATCATAACAATAGACTCATGCCACGAGAATCGCGACAGAAGACTCATGCTACGAGCTACGCATTACTAGTTAGGAACCAGTCTTTGAGCTTATTACTACTCACCGAGTAACAGCACAGTCCCATGTAGTCCGTATGTATCAACCAACTTTTCTATTAACATTGGAAAAACAAAACTCCCAGCAGCCGTCCCGCTCACGCAAATACCATTCGCCAACGCTCTAGAAAGAGACAAGAGAACGAAAATAGAATTTCGTTGATGAACTAAAATAAAAGCTATCGCGCGCGACTTTATCCGCGTGGAATTAAACAAATAAATAGCCTATGTGTTCTTCCAGACTATGTTCTATATCTGTGTATTTCATCAAGATCCGTTGAATCCAGGATACGTTCTAACAAACATTCATCTAAACATTCACTTTTTTAATATTAGTAAGAATAAGAGATACTGCTGATAAATAAATAGAATAAAGTATATAAGTAGTTATTTACCTATGTTTATCAAAATATTGCGAGACAATAACGATCCCAGGAGTTGTTGATAATCCACCCCCGATACCTGAGAAAAATTCATATTCATTGATAACTTTCTTCAGAAAAGAATGATACTAAAACACACACATAAAGAGGAATATGGTGATTACGACCATATCTTTGTTTTGTGTATGTACAATCAGGGAATTTAGTGGTGTTCGACATACAAAAGAATTGCCCTGCCCTTTTAAGCTATACACAACTAGGTAGCAGTGACTTAAAGCAAAATTCGTGTACTGACCGACCTTTTTCGTAGAGATACATTTAAAAAGCCTCCTATTAGTTATTGTTTACTTGTCTTAATAATTATAGAACGTTCTTACGAGTCGTTTTTAAAGTGGTATACCGACAATTTCCCCGACAGTACTTAAGTTCCATAATGACCTAAATTCGTCAAATAAGATGTCATTTTATTCGTATTTAGTGTGTCATAAATATCAGAATCAATCAGATATAATTACATTCGTGTACTTACCAGTCATAACACCGAAGCTTAGCAATAAATGTAATAATCCAGTGCTGAAGAAGGACAGTGCTAGTCCAGTAGCACAGAACAGTCCACCAATGAACACGACCAGACGACACGAGTATTTCTCACATAACGCTGAAGATAACGGAGCTGAAAAGAATTATGGATTGGAATAAGTGGCAGGAGTCAGTGTTTCCGTCCAGCTGTAACCTGAACTTTCAAAAGTATGGTGAATTTACTAAGCTAGTATCCTTTGATCACCCACTTACTCTCAAGTGGGTTTATGGTAAAGCTTTGATATATTCAATATAATAAAAAAAGAAGAGTTTCAACAGTACAACTGCATTCAAATAACAAGTGTAGTTTGTAAAATGTAAATATGGAGGAGGTGAAGGAAAACATCGTGATGCTGCACATATCTGACAAACTCAAACATATGTGTCAAGTCTTGCACTGAACCAGCATTCACTATCACATACTCTCACTTAGGGTAGGCGCAGACACCTGAGAGTGGGGACATATGACCTGATGATGATAGAAAACTTACCAAGTGCAAGACACAATGTAGACAGCGCAGCTGGTATCCACGAGGCAACAGACTCCGATGAATCAGGGAATGTTTCCATTATCTCAACATACAGCACTCCATATGACTTGAATAGACCGGCCACCCAGAATTGAACCATGAATGCACCAAACACAACCACCCAACCGTACCCACCGTCCGGAGGACATGGTATACTGCGAAGAAAGGAAATCATTAAACAAGCAAACAAAACTCATTAGGCCACACCATATCAAAGGCTGGTAAGCCACAACCGTGCAGTTTTCGCAAATCTTTCTACATCGCACAGCCTCGTTGTGGTCTATTCCAAAACGCAACGACTTAGGGTCCTTCAAGAAGCGACTGTATCGTCATCTCAAAGGCGACTCATCTGCGGGTCTGGTCTATGAATACCTTGGTGTTCTCCTCTTTTGCCCCTTATCTTATAAAAAATAGTGTTAAAATAATAAAATAGACGTGGTGGACTTACTCAGTAGAGTCAGGTCTTGGGCGCAGGTTCCTAGAGGCGGCGAGCAACGGCCGTGCGGTCACCGACGATAACGTCAGCAGGGAGTCCTCTTCCTGCTCCGTCGGCGACATCGCAGACAGATACGCACCAACTTGCTGTACACAATGATAAATAGAGTCACACGACCACACAGAAGGACTTCACCAAGTAATTACCCATCTAATCACTGTGTGACTCAAGGATAAAGTTTAAACTCCCTTCCCCTTGATATCGTTTTTAACCGACTTTAAAAAGGAGGTGAAGGAGGGAACTTTGGAGTTGATTTCGGCCTGTATAAGAACTTAAACGTAACTAGATATAAAACACCTTAGATTAGCGCATTTTGTTCGATAATATTTTTATCTCGGTTTTCTTTTTTTTCAAAGTGAAGAATGGAGAGAGGAAAATTGAATTTGGTAAGAGGAACGGTTTCCTATGAAAGAATAGTAGCAACTGACCGTGGCTAGTGGTAACTCAAGCAGGAGGCTCGCTGGCCGTTCCCTTTGCTCCGGAGGCATCGTCCTTTGTTCTGGAGGTGCTGACTGTATTGATAACAACGAGCCTGCATTGTCCGGCGACAGGCTGGCCTGTGGGTGCAAGATTTAGAAAAAAAAAATCTTTTTTTTTTAAATTTTAAAATCTCACCAATAGATGGCGCTATTATGTATCATAATTTTAATGTGTTTGAAATTTGTCGATAGATGGCGTTATTCTTAATCATGGAAGATAACAACATTGTGTTAAACAATTGTTACAAAAGTGGCCATTTTAACCTTCGTTGTATACTCCACGAGGTCGCTTTTTTGTGGGCGGCGCTATACCGTCATCTCGTACCCATGGAAGAACAGGACAGTTCTTTACAGGTTCTATTTTTTATTCTTTATTTTTTAGGAGCTTACCTCGCCAATAGTGTCGGTAGCTGGTAAGTCGATGGAGCAAGACAAAGGTGCGGTAGACGTCGGTGGAGCGGAGGTGCCGAGGACCTGGTCTTCGAGTCTTGATAACTCCTGAAATCAGTAACTTACATATCATCATCCCATTATGAAAAAAAACATATATCTAACTTTCTTTAAGTTTATTGTAGTCAAATGAGGGTATCAAGTAAACAGAGAGGGGCGCTAGTGAGCTATGATGCTTTAGTTTGACTTATGTCAATAAGTTCAGATAGACTAGTTTGTGTAATTGTTCCAGATATATACTTAGACACAATCTTACTAATATTATAAGTACTTTAATTCTAATATAAAAAAGCTAGAATATTAGAAATGTTAGAAGCTATCTCCGGAACGCGTCAACGGATCTCGCTGACATTTGGCTTATGTATAGAACATAGTCTGGAAAAACACATAGGCTCATCATCATCAGCTTACTATATGTCCCTACCGAGGTGCTCGGAGCCTACCCTAAATTAAGCGTGAATAGGCCATAGTCAACCACGCTGGCCAAGTGCGGGTTGGTTGACTTCACACATATCTTTGAATTTTTTCTCAGATATGTGCAGCATGACGATGTTTTCCTTCACCGTAAGAAAGTCGGATAAATGTACATATGTAAATCGGAAAACGAAAAACACATTGCTACATGGCGGGATTCAAACCCAGGACCTGCAGACGACGCTCCATGGAAAAACACATAGGCTACTTTTTTAATTCAGCGCCGACGGAGTCGTGAGCGACAGATATAAAGACGTTTTGGTGAAAGAACTTAGTAAGCTATTTGTTAATCTGTGCTAAATTTCATACAGATCCATTCCATTTTTTTTGTAATCGCCATATTAAATATCCATCCTAAGTTTCGCGCTTTCAATGTAAGACGGTTCATAACAGAAAAGTTTTTCTCAAATCACGCAAGAAACCTACTAAATGTCATATTTTATTTTGTAGACAAGTTTGAAATTATAACTTATATAAGTTATTACTAAGACTTATGCAATTTGTAACTTATTTTATTATGTAGTTAAATATATATTTAACTAGCTATCGCCCGTGACTCCGAATGCGCGGGATTAAAAATAAATATACCAATTCACACAACTACTGAATGTTTGTTTGAAGATATCTCCAGAACGGCTACATTAATTTCACTGTAATTTGACATACATGTAGAACATAGTCTGGAAGAACACATAGGCTACTTATGGTTTTTTTTTAATTCCGCACGGACGAGCAGACGCGGCAGCTATGTATATAAAGTTTCATAATGGTCAAGCTGTTACGAAGGACTGGTAACTAACATTGTGACACAGTTTTACCCAGACACTCATCATCATCAGCTCACTATAGGTCCCCACCGAAGGGGTCGGAGCCTACCCTAAATTAAGGGTGATTAGGCCATAGTCAACCATGCTGGCCCAGTGCGGGTTGACTTCACACATATCTTTGACTTTCTCAGATATGTGCACCATCACGATATTTTCCTTCACCGTAAGAACGTCGGATAAATGTACATATGTAAATCGGAAATCGAAAAACACATTGATACATGGCGGGATTCGAACCCAGGACCTGTAGATTGCAAGTCAGGTGCTTGACCACTGAGCCACCGACACTCCTTTGCTCCCAGACACTGCTTTAGGTGAATGCCCCGCGAGTCTAGTCAGGAAAATAAACCAAAACTGCATTTGGATCAATACTAAAGGCATAATTGTTTTGGCTTTTAGCCAATGTACCTTCTTACACCTTTGTTATGCAGATACAAAAGTTTTGACTTAAAATCGTCAAAGTACACCATTTATCTTCTTCTTACAATGCTATTAAATTATTCAAACTTTCGTGAGACATTATACTAAACTGATATAAACATGGCTAAACACTCACGTATATTCGTCCGGTGACACCGACTAGTTTCGAGCCCATCGGGCCCATCGGACGACACCTAGTTATCTATACAATTAATAAAATTAGTTTGTTTGTATGTAATATTGAAAACGTATCCTTATAACATGCCCGAGTGCTTCAGTTACCTTCCAGTCAATGTCCCGTCAAAATCTATCGACACGTTCCGGATATTACCCGGAACATATGCAAACATGCGAACATACATACAGACACGCACGTGTACCAAATATGTTTTTTCTTTCTTTATATAACACTAGCTGTCGCCCGCGTCTCCGTCCGCGTGAAAGGCAAAAAAAACTTAATTAGTTCCCAACAATATACGATTTTTTTCTCAACTTTTAAACCTTCCCTAGACCTTTACTAACATTTCAAGACCAAGATAAGATAAATCCGTTCAGCCAATTTCGAGTTTTGATGACTAACGACAAATTTTTCCCGTTTTTGCAACATTTCTCACTGACGCTTCGCTCCTATCGGTCGCAGCGTAATTTTATATAGCCTAAAGCCTTCCTCTATAAATGGACTATCCAACAAAAAAGGAATTTTGCAAATCGGACCAGTAGTGCCTGAGATTAGCGCGTACAAACAAACTCTTCCGCTTTATAATATTAGTATAGGGTACCTGAATGACAGAGCTTTGCTCGGTTTTTTTTTAAATTGTGTTTTTTGGAAATTATATTTAAGTAGGAATTACTAATAAAATGATGAAATATGAATAATATTTTTCGATCTTACAGATAGAAAAAGTTAAGTTTATGTTTATTTATTTATTAGACGAATAAAATGACATTTTCTAAAAATGATTCTTAGCTAGATCGATTTATCGCCCCCGAAACCTCCTATATACTAAATTTTATGAAAATCGTTGGAGCCGATACCGAGATTCCAATTATATATAAATACAAGAATTGCTCATTTAAAGATATAAGATACACATGTACAGACACTCCAATTTAATTAATATGTATGTATGTATGTATAATTGCGGCAAACAGACATGACAATGGTTTTATAAAAGACAAGGTCTTGTCATGGGCTGGGTAAAAGCCACTCTTCGCCTACTTCTAATCAATAACGCGACCTCTAAATACAACAATGATTCATCCAATCTTACTAATATAAAAGAGAATGTTTGGATGGATGTTTGTTTGAAAGTATATCCAAAACAGCTGAATGGATCTTGATGAAATTTGGCATAGATGAAGAACATAGTCTGGAAGAACACATAGGCTTTTATTTTCTGCGCGGACAGAGTCGCGGGCGTCAGCTAGTGTATAGTCCAACCAAGAATATAAAAACCTTATATTATCTTCTTCAAGTTCCATATTTTTTCGTATTAAGAAAAGATTTTTTATATTCCTGATCAAGCTATAGATGTTATTCACACTCAGAGAAGTTTAAAGATTATTTAATCATTCTCTTAGTATAGATATGTTACATTCAATCTACACTAAGGGTCCCACTTAATGATTTTAATTGCGGTTTTTTGAATGTGAAAGTACCAGGATATCATGAACTGACAAGAGTTCATATCGATTTTACTTACAATGTCTGCAGTCTCTCCGGTCATTGACCTCTACCTTAACCTAAAATACGAAATGCAACACTCACAGTTCCATCCTTAGTGTAGTAACAAACAAATTAACATTTGACTTTGGGTTACTGATATCGAAATTTGTTTATAAAACATATCGCCAATCCTGACTTTATTTTTGATAACACAGAGATGTTTTTAAATGGAGATTTTAGACTCAGGAACCCACAGTTAGTTAATAAAACATAAGACTCGTGAAATTACGCGGTAACACAGATTAAAAAAATATAGACGAATAACCTCTTTTTTTGAAGTCGGTTAAAAATTAGTTGACATTCAATTGATAGTCTATGATTATAATATTATTAAAATTAACTAAATAAAAAAGCAAAAATTTAAAGTGAACTTTGCTAAAAATATTAGTTGTAAAAGTAAAGTTATTATTAGGTCAGTGGGTCGCAGAAATATCTGCAATCTTAATAAAAAGACAGTGTATTGATTTTTAATGTCAGTTGCATCGCAGTCTTTCATGAGCAACTTGTCACGCGCGATTTTCGTGCGGAATAAAAAAAATTAATACCTTACATGTTCTTCCAGACTGTGTTCTACATCTATGCCAAATTTCAACGAGATTCGTTAAACAGTTCTAAAGATCTTCTAACAAATAAACATCTAAATATTCGCATTTATAATATTAGTAAAATTACTAGATAAATACAAGATATCTGAACAATTTAAAAGACATAGATTCTAGTTAAATGTGAGGAAACATTATTTTTATTTCACTTTTTTATCGTCTGTGTAAAGGTCAATGACCTTTAACGACATAATGATAATAAATTAACAAATATTGTAGGAAATAATTAAATCAATAGATAGTTTTAAAATTAACATAAACTATGGAATGTTTTAAAATAATGATCAATTAATTTAAAAATAAATAATAATATTTTTTTAATTTATTTATTAGGCTAAATTACGACAGATTTTCGATTATAAGGGTTTTGACCTAATTTAAAATTCGGAAATCATTTTTTTATTTAATATCATGTTGCCATAATTATATTTTTAATTTCACATTTTTTTTGGGTAAATTAACTTTTTTGACATAACAAAAATAGACTTACCTTTTTAAATATAAATTCTCTTGGTAACGACATCGCGTATTAAGAATATCGGGAGGTGCAGGCTGAGATATAGAGATGTATCCTTTAAAGTGGTCCTCTGATTCTGTTGAATTCAATCTTACACTCGGAGTAAAAACGGCATGCGCCGCTAAATGCATTGGTTTTGTTACTTTTTTCACTTGTAAAGAAGCCGTTTTAATAAATTTATTTTACTTTATAATCGAAGAAAAAAAAAACAATTTCTCTCAACACTTTTTTTCTTCGCAATACGATGCGAAAATTATGGTGTATAGCCGACCAACATTTTACGTAATAATAAATTTATAATAGTGATAGTATTAAATTGTTAATATTTAATTTATAGGTAAAAATGACGTGACCGCTTCAGAACACAGTTCCGGAATATATAAATCCATGTGTAACCTTTAATACGCTTGCGCGGAAGTAAAATCAATAATCGGGAGGTCTACATAGAAATATGCAAGGTTTTTTTATGCTGGCAACACTATTATTTTTATTTATTTTACGTGTAACTAGAAATATATTTTTGATAACGATAAAATATTTTTTAAAGCAAGAGTTTTGATGAAAATAGTATTAAGATTAATCAGTTTTTTAAATCTTTCGTTCCCTGAACTATAATTTGGTAGTATTTTAAGATAGTTTTCTTCAGATTTGACCTTCGACCGACGATGGATATTGACAAAAAAATGACATATATTAAATAAAAAACCGATTTATATAATTTTATTGGTAAAACATTTATTATACTAATAACACAGTAATATGTACTTTACTATGACATGAATAAAATCATATTAATTTCTCACAGGTCCATTGCATAAAAAAAACTAAACCTTTGAGGTTAGGATAAATAAAAAAATAGCACAAATTCAGAAAAGTCATATGGCACATTTATAATAAAATTTTCTCTACATCTTAATTAAAACAAAGCGAAAAATATCCAATAAACTCAAAAACTACTTAACCAATTAAAATCTATCACCATTAGAAAATTATCCCCAAGTAATATAACATATTTTACATATAAAAATTTCGTGTCACGATGTATGTTCGCGATAAACTCCGAAACTACTAAACTAATTCTTACCAAATTTAAGCATCTGTAATTTAGTACAACTTAAAGATGTAGTAAAGTAGTTTTTATTTATTTTATTATTTATCCCCATATTTTTTTGGGCCAGCGTGGTTGACTATGGCCTAGTCACCCTTGATTATGGGTAGGCTCCGAGCCCCTCAGTGGGGACGTATAGTGAGCTGATGATGGTGATGATATTTGTTATTACAAATTAAATGTTTATTACAAGACTTTAGTGTATATCGGTTAATTCTATCAAAAGTATGCACGGATGTCACTGAAATTTGACATACATATAGAACATAGTCTAGAAGAGAACATAGACTACTTACTAAGTTTTTTTTACACTGCAGACAGAGTCTCGGACGGCAGATAGTAAACAACATTGTCTGCCGTTGACAAATATAAATTTGTGTTTAATATATCACTATTTCAATGATATTAAATGTCCATAAATTTAAAGCCAACATCATAATTCACTGTCCAATATCTCATCAAAACTTGTCTGAGTTTCAGCTGTATTAAAACCTAAAAAGGCATCGATAGATCCAAAATTAGCTGTCTGCGTTTCAGTCGACGTCAAATTCATAACAGGGCTTGAAGATACACTATCAAACAACTTACAATTAAACTTCGGTGAATCATAAAGACATAAACAAGTCTGTGTTTCCTTGATACTTAGATCTGGTGATTGAGTTTCTGATGTCAGAGTTTCTTTGTTCGATGTATTCAAATCAAATTCTTTAGAGAATGTCTGTGTTTGTATATCCGATACTGATTCACAAAAATATATTGTATCATCTTCGCTTGCTTGAGATTTTAATGATAGCAAATCTTCAAACACAGTTTGAGTTGATATTTCATCCGTCTTCGTTTCATCTGATTTCTCCGGCCACGATGGTAAAGTAATATCATTCTTTATATTATCTTCAGGTTTTAATGTTTGCGTTGCAAATGATCTTTTAGGGCTATCACAAAAGTATTCCATCTCCGGTTTGGATTCTGTTTTTAATTTCCTCTTTTCAGCTTTCCTCTCTATTTTATATTGCTTATGTAAAACAGGATGCTTCCTCATTAGATGTACGAGTAATCTATCATTCGTTTTGTAAACTTGATGGCAACTTTTACACTCGTATGTTAAATTACATGTTTGCAAATGTCTTTCAAAAGCCGTCTTTGTCGGGAAAGTTAATTCACATTTATCACAATTAATACTTTTGGATTTATGTACATTATTGTAATGTTGATTTAGAAATTTTCTACCTGAGAAATATTTATTATTTAACACATCTATGCTGTACGTACAGTTTTCTATGGAACAATAATATTGTAGGTCTATTTTAAAGTCTTTTCCTACTTGATGTCTTGTTATCAAATGTTTCAATAGTTCAGGTTTCTTTTGAAATGATTGAGTACAACTGTATGGACATGATAGCACAATTTTTGAATTCATATCCGGTGCAATTATTTTTATTATTAATTTTTTATTATTAAAAGAAAATTGTATACTATTACATTGAGATTCTTCTGTCACTGTAGTTGTCTGTACCTGCAACAGTAAACATATCAGCTCATTATAGGCCACCACTGAGGGTATCGGAGGCTACCCTAAGTTAGACTATGTGATAGTGAATGCTGGTCCACTGCAAGGCACATATCTTTGACTTTCTCAGATATGTGTAGCACCACAATGTTTTCCTTCACCGTAATAACATTGGTTAAATGTACATATCGAAAATCATCTAACTTTAATCAACAGGGGATATATTAAAAGTGAATATTTTCTCTTCTTATGGATACCTTACACTGACAAAATCATATAAGAATGCTTGGGAAGATAGATGACTAAATTAGTCTTTAGGATTGCACTCACAAGACTAAATATGGAATTACTTCCACTTTACGCCTGTCTTCTTTGTAATACATTTGTCGTAGCTGCCTATTCATTCTCTACCACTGTTAAACATTTAAACCTATTGTTGATATAGTACTAATCACCTTCATAGCATTCTTGAGCACATCATCACTTTGCTGACACAGCAATCTAAATACGCGGCACTCCATCAGAGCCTCCTCGCAAGATGAACACAGGAGACCAGACAACATGTCGGGTTTATCTACCTGGAATTATGGAAAAAAAATTACGAGACTGTATATGAGGGTTTTGAACTATTTTTTTAGTTGTTTTTATCAATAGACGTAGTTTAAATAATACCTTAACTTCACTAAATTTATAGAAATCTTCTAGAAGACCATAATCAATCATATTTTTCATTTCTCCGCTAGCGTTCAAACATCCACGACAAACTTGAGTTGGGTCCATATTTAGTTCATTTAACTCAGTCATTGTTTAAATTGTATCATTTGTAAAATTAAAATAACACATAAATAATGTTAAAATCTGCGTCATGAATTGGAAAATTGTGGAAAATCAATATTTGTATCAGACAAATGACAGTTCTCTTATCTCTTGTTATTTGATAGTTTGATTATGGTGTTGCCATATCATCGTTACGTTTACCCTATATTTCAAGCTTTTTATACAAAGAAGGTTGCAAATGTTAACAATGGGTATTTACTGTTTATATTGATCTAACGAAAAGATACTTGTTCAAGTTGTCTTAACCTTAACTAATACCATAATTATATTTAAAAAACATTAATCTTAATGAAATCCCAGAAGCTCAAAATAAAAAAAATTGTGGAACGCATATGCCGTTCACTGCAAAGTTGATTCGAAGGACCATAATTCGAGCTATTATTTTACAAAACTAACTTACACTACGACACCAATAAACAGCGTATTTACATTTCATACATTCTTTTCAAAATAAACGGTAAATTATTTTTCAATACGAACTTCATTGAATAATTTAAAAGAAATTTAAAATTAGAAACATTAGCCGAAAGTCAAATTGACAATTATTTTGGTTTGTCTAAATTAACAAGAGTATGTATTCTACTTTAAAAAAGTAATTTATAACGTTTTAATCCCTCGTTGAATTAAAATTATTTCAAAAAACCACCATAAAAAAAGCCGGCGCACTCATAGGCGCGAAGTTGTTTACAATATCTCGAGTCAGTATCGTGCAAATATCGGATCGGTCGCCATTTGCGCCACGGAGGCTCCCAAATCGGTCTTGTGTGGAGTGAAATTATAGGTTATAGTTAATTGTAATTAATCACTTATCAGTGCAAGAAAACTAAAGAAATTATACAACAAAACATTAAGACACTGTTTAATAATAGAAAGGAGGATAAAATTCTTGATATGAGTGAGTAAAATAACTATTTTAATATGTTACGTAGAAAGACACGTGCATCAGTTTTATTTAGTAAATTGCATTTGATTTGTGTAATAGCAGCGTCGACTGTGCACCTTAACAAGTGATATATTTATTAAATGATTGTCCGTTCACTGTTGATTATTAAAGTATCTTGAGTATAACTTTTCGTTACTTTAAATTTCGACATAAACTTTTATTGGGCCATTATGCATACGAAACTTGCATTCTAAAACGTATATACGTGGTAGAGAAAGTAGAATGTTTTAAGTCTTTTATTGTTTACACGTTCCGTTTCATCAAATTTTCATCATAACTAGTAAATAATTATTTTATATTATAAAATAATATTTATGTCCTAAATTCGTATAAGAATGACCATGAAGCTATTTTGGCATTGTTTAATAGACAATCATAGACCTAGGTATTTTTAGGTCATGTAGGTTTTAAAAAGTTAAGTATATCTTACTAATATAAATACGAATGTTTACATGGATTGATGGATCTTGCTGAAATTTGGCATAGATGTAGAACATATAGGCTACTTATTAATTTTGTTTTTAATTCCTCGCGGACGGAGTCGCGGGCGACAGCTAGTACTAAATAAATCTTGGCAAGTATTTCACAATATAGCTGTTACACTTATATACTGAAATAGTTTATTAAAACAAGTTATTGGAATAAATAACTGTAGTCTGAGAATTTTAACTCTTGTAAAAACTTTTTCTTCTTTTCTTACTAATATTATAAACTAGCTGTCACCCGCGACTCCGTCTGTGTGGATATATAATAAACTTAATTAGTGTAGCCTATGTGTTCTTTACAGACTATGTGCTGTATGTATGCCAAAATTTAATCGAGATCAGTTCAGCCGTTTTAGAGATATCTTCAAACACCCATCCATCCATCCACATCACATCCGTCTAAACATTCGCATTTATAATATTAGTAAGTTAAATAAAAAGATCTTTAAGGCATAAAATCGAAAAAAAAATTGAATAAATAGTATCCTATGTCCATCTCCTAGCTCTAAGTTACCTCCTCACCAATTTTCAGGCATATCGGTAAAGCCGTTCTTGAGTTATAAATAGTGTAACTAACACCATTTTCTTTTATATATAGATTCTGAAGGCTTTAAAATTCTATCGTCAACAATTAGTAAGATTGATTTTTCAACTGATTAGTTTCACATTTATTATGCTTTGAATACAATCATATTTGCAATAAGTAGATTTGTGAAAGTATATTGAGAGTTGGTAAACATGTTGCATAACTTATTTCAACATTTAATTAAAACAACAATTTCATAATATTTGACATTTAATAATCATAGTCTAAGACTTGGATAGTATTTATCTTACTAATATTATAAATGCGAAAGTTGTGTGGATGTTTGTTTGAAGATATCTCAGGAATGGCTTAATGGATCTTGATGAAATTTTGTACATATAGAACATAGTCTGGAAGAACACATAGCCGTGGGCTGCAGCTAGTAGTCAAATATGGTCTGATGAGACAGGCTCTTTTATGGTTAGTTTTGTCAGAAAATAATGTAACACTAGCTGTCAGACTGTGCCTGTCCACGCAGATTAAAAAAACTTTATTAGTATAGCCTATATGTTCTTTCAGACTATGTTCTACATCTATGCCAAATTGCAATCTGTGGAGCTTTTCTGAAGATATGTAGTAGCATCCATCCATCCTAAAATTGGCATTTATAATATTAGTAAGATGTACATAGGCTAAATTTTAATGCGAAAGAGTTAATTGGGTGACAAGGAGGGATGAATGTTTGTTTAATTTATTAATAACATTGTATCATTTATGGAATAAATCCAATGTGATACTATAAATAAATGAAATTCAACAGTGGTAGAGCCTGCTGTATTGTCTTCGCAGTAATTGGCCCGGCTCGCCCGGTGAAATACCACGACCATACATAAGACAGGCGTGAAGTGGTAGCAATTCCAACTACAGTCTGATGAGTGTGCGTCTCAGAGGCCTAATTTAGTCCTCTTTCCCTTCCCACCCTTTCTCTTATAAGGAAAGGATGGGAAGTGGAGGATGAGGGGATGCATGGAAAGGGAAAATATTTTCTTTCTGTGCATCCTCTCCTCCGTTGATTAAAGGTAGGCAACGCATGTGCAATTGCGTATGTCTATGGGCAACGGTCACTTCGCTATTTCAGCGATTTCAGGTGGCCGCTCGCTCGTTTGTCACCTTAATAAAAAAAAATGAACAATTTAGTTAATATTTCTTATTCTATTGTTTCCAGTTGTCCAGTGTACCCGATATGAAGATTGAAGATAGGGTATACACAAAGAAATCTGTGCCTAAATTACATAATAACTTAAAGTAAATAGAATTCAGTATATGGATAGAAGATATATTTACTGAGGATAAGAATGAAAATTCCCGAGACGTCAGCTAATATTGGTGCTTATTATGGCAATGAAGACAACGTACAGTGGCAGGTAATGGCAACATTGTGGTTTTTTTTTAAATTGAAAAGGCAAAGGTACATTTTTAAATATGATATTTAGTTGGTGGCTGAACGGTTAAGCAATTGACTTATAAGCATGTCCTGTGTTGTAATCCCGTGATGTATGAATGTGTTACATTTACATATGTACATTTATCTTATGTTGTTACGGTGAAGGAAAACATCGTGATGCTGCACATATCTGACAAACTCAAACATATGTGTCAAGTCTTGCACTGGACCAGCATTCACTATCACATACTCTCACTTAGGGCACTCCGAGACACACAGTGATGTATTGACAGTAGAAATCTTTTTTTAAAGCTTGAAAAGTGTTATTTTTTGTAATACATTTCATGTTGTTTAATTAAGGAAAATATATAAGTGTGTCAAAAAATTCAACAATGCACCGGTAATAGTGTTAACCAGGTTGATATTAAAATAAGGAAAAAATGCTGAAAATATCTAATAAAATAAGCTATTATCACTGTAGGTTTGTTGTAAGCTATAGTTATTTGTGATGGAACGATGTGTGTTAACAGTGGTAGAGCCCGCTTTAACATCTTCGCACGGATTGGTCTCAACCGGTGCAATACCACGGCTACACATAATAGTAGTAAAGTGGAAGCAATTCCGCGTAGTCTGATGAGTGTGCATCCCGGAAGCCTAATTTTAATCCTCTTGCACTTCCTACCCGTTTTCCAATAAGGATGGGAAGTGGAAGTTGATTTTCCTAATAACGGGATGCATGGGAAGGGAAAATATTCTTTTTCTGTGTATCCTCTCCTCCGTAGATTATAGAAATGCATCTGCAAGGAAAAAAACAGAACACTTATAGGATCACTTTGTCCATCCGTCTATCTATCAAGACCCTTTTTTTCTTCACTTCTTGCTGGTGCAGTCACCCAAAGTGATTTGACAAAATAGACATAACAGTATGTTTTAAATAAGTATTTTGGTCTCGGAAACCCACATTAATTTGTATTGTTTATTTTCAGCCCAACGGTGTAATAATAGACAACGGAGTCGGTGGTGGTATTGTAGGTAGCGGAGACGCGGGTGTACATCGTCCCCCTGTCTACCCTGTGCATATACAGAGAGGACATATTCCAGGTGAGTTAAGACTGCCTTGCAGAGGCAGATGTGTTATTGTGTCTTGCAGAGGCAGATGTGTGATTATGTCTCGGAGAGGCAGATGTGTAGTTGTGTCTTGCAGAGGCAGATGTTTGCCTTATAGAGGCATCAATATGGAATGTGCCTCAACGAGACAGATATGTGTTTGCAACTATGTGATAATGTGTCTTGTTAGGGCTTCTATATGTGCCTGTTTGACTTCTAGAGGCAATTATCAGTGGCAATTGCCTTATAAGGCAGCAAAATCTATGTCATTATGCGAAGCGCGTTGGATCCGTACTCTCCAGAACGGGTGGACTGATTTTGATGAGTCTGGGACAGGAAGGTGTCTGATGCATGCAATCAAAATATAGGCTACTTTGTACAAATTCAGTGGTGATTCTGAGTGTGATTTTATTATTATATAACTTTTTTTTTGCTTCTACAGGCTACGTGATGGCTGAAGCTTACTATCCTCCCACGTACCCCGCGCCACCAACACACGCAGCGCCACCTGACGACTTCGCCGATTATATGTGGATGGAAAACGAAGAGGAATTTGATAAACAAGTAATTTAACATTCACAGATATAACAGCGGTAGAGCCAGCTTAAACATGTTGGCAGGGATTGTCTCACCCGGTGCAATATGACCACACAGATATACCTCAAGTGTGAAGCTATTCCAACTACAGTCTGATTAGTGTGTTCCGAAGGACTGATTATAGTCATCTTTCTCTATCAAACCTTTTCTTATAAGGAAATAGTATATAGGGGAAGTAGATTTGACAAAGAAAGAGGCATCATCATCAGCTCACTATACATCCCCACCGAGGGGCTCAGATCCTACCCTAAATTAAGGGTGATTAGGCCATAGTCAACCACGCTGGCCAAGTGCGGGTTGACTTCACACATATCTTTGAATTTCTTCTCAGATATGTGCAGCATCACGATGTTTTCCATCACCGTAAGAACGTCGGATAAATGTACATATGTAAATTGGAAATTGAAAAACACATTGGTACATGGCGGGATTCGAACCCAGGATCTACAGATTGCAAGTCGAGTGCTTGACCCCTGAGCCACCGACGCTGTTAATAAGAGGCATAGGAAGGGGAAATATTCTCTTTCTGTGTATCTCCTCCGTAGATATTTAAACAATTGGCTTAGAAGTAAAGTTTAAATTGATTTTGACATATGTGTTGTCACTCGATTCAATCTGAGGTCTTAGTGTCTCAAGGGTTAAGCTCTTGATGTGTAATCATGTCCTGTGTTGTAATCCCGTGATGTATGAATGTGTTACATTTACATATGTACATTTATCCTATGTTGTTACGGTGAAGGAAAACATCGTGATGCTGCACATATCTGACAAACTCAAACATATGTGTCAAGTCTTGCACTGGACCAGCATTCACTATCACATACTCTCACTTAGGGTACACTAAGAGACTCTCAGTGGGGACTTAGTAAGCTGATTATTATATTCTTTTGTTGTATACCAGGTGATGCAGCAATTAGAAGAGGAAGCTCTAATGGAGCAATGTATAGAGGCGATGTTGGAAGATGAACAGAGAGAGAGACATCGTCCTGTACCTAACGGACATAATCATTATCCTACGTAAGTAACATCTTACTAATAAACTAGCGGTCGCCCGCGACTCTGTCCTCGTGGGATTAAAAAAAAAGATAATTAGAGATAGCGTCAATAGCCTAATGGTTAAGGGTACGGATTTCCGATCACACGGTCGGGGATTCGAATCCCGCCATTCGACTATTATCGTAAACCATATCCTAGCACAAGCCTAGAGCTTAGTTGGAATGGTAAAAGAAATATTAGTAAATTTACAAAAAAATCTGCTAATATTTGTTTGTTTATGCTTTTTTATCTAATTCCAGGACAAGTAATGGTCAAGCATCGTGTTCCTTAGAAGAAGCTGTATCCAGATCCACCCTCAATCCATTGGCCGCTGAGTTTGTACCCACAAGAGTTGTACCTCCACCGACATGTATGTATTATTATTTTATACAATACTAGCTGTCGCCCGCGACTCCGTCCACCTGGATATATATAAAAAAACTTAATTAGTGTATCCTATGTGTTCTTTCAGACTATGTTCTATATGTATGACAAATTTAATCGAGATCTGTTCAGCCGTTCCAGAGATATCTTTAAACATCCATCCATCCATTCACATCACAACCATTTAAACATTCACACTTATAATATTAGTAAGTTAAATATAAAGCAGGTCTTCAAGGCATAAATTCGATAAAAAAAATGAATAAATAGTATCCTATGTCCGTCTCCTGGTTCTAAGTAAAGCTACCTCCTCACCAATTTTCAGGCATATCGGTAAAGTCGTTCTTGAGTTATAAATAGTATAACTAACACCACTTTCTTTTATATAAAAAATAAATTTCAAGCTTCTATCTATAAAAATGATGATAATTCCATAACAATTTTCCAACCCCTTTATCAAACCCTTATCCTATAAACCAAAAAAATATATATAATGCGCTTAATTTATTAACTTTAATAAACCAAATTAAAAAATATATATTTTATCATATCTAGCCTTGAAAGTAATCGGTTATTATACGATTAAATTTAATAAAATTTTCTAATAAATTCAACAGGTGAAGATAAAACAGAGAACAGCACAGAAGAGAAACAGACAGATGAACAGAGTCCAAAGGAAGATGTCACAAAAACAGTACATGTCGAAAGTAAAGAAGAAATTGTAGAAGAGAAGAAAGTTGAAGGTAGATTGATATTTAAATGATATTAGAAATTTAAAAAAAAATGTGTCTCTTCAAGACAAATAATCTATTCAAAGTTAAATGCCTCGTTAAGGCAACATAATATAGAAAGCAACAAAACCTAAGCAAATGTCTTGTCTATCTTTTCAAATATATATAGTTGCCTCAATAAGGCAAATTCCTTATTGAGGCAAAAAATGGCGATTCCTTATGATAGATGCCTTACCGAGGCAAATTATTTATTGTACTATTAAAGAAAATTTTAAAATATTTGCCTTGATATGGCAATACTATGTCAAAAATCATTTGCCTTTTCAAGGCATTTAAATAACTAAATTGAGGCAAATAAGTAAATGTCTCGCTGAGGCATATTCAGGGTAAAAATGCTTCTTCAAGGCAAATATTTTTTATAGCCGACAGCAGACATCTATATGTGTATTTAAAATTTAAATATATTGGTAAAAAACTACGTCTCGTTGAGGCATATCGAAGCATAGTATGCTTTTTAATTTTTTTCAAGGCAAATGTTTTTTTTTTTTTTAGTAATATCACCAGAACCAAGCGAAACTCCAGAAGTAAGCGCAGCAGATGTCCAACCGATTGAGAAGAAGAAAGAAGTGAAAATGGAACAGAAGAAAGTTATCAAGCAAGATGTTAAAGTTAAAGCGGTTGTAGTTAAATCTGATACGAAAGTTCAAAAGAAGAAAGATGTTAAAATTATCAAAAGTGATACGAGAGTAGAAGAGAAAGTTGAAGATGAGATTGCTAAGGTAATATCTGTTATAGTGACCAAGTCATTAAAACCGATTTTTTTTTGTAATTAACTAGAGTTGATTCTCTGCACTGTCTTTGTTAAGTTGTATATCTTTATATATATATATAATTCTTCTGTGAGTGTGTATGTCACTGAACTTCTCTCAAACGACTGGAGCGATTTTGATGAAATTTTTTGTGTGTGTTCAAGGGGATCTGGGAATGGTTTAGATTCACAATTTTGTCCGCTGGACAATGTTTTTTTAATTAATTTTTAATTAATTAGTAGTTGTTGATTTTGTAATGTTTTACATTGGATCCGACAGACGGCGCTACCATCGCAGTGTCAAATTGTCAGACAACGTCTGTCGGGTCCGCTAGTATGTATATATTTCTTAAGTAAGATTTAATTAGTTTTTATGAATACTAGATGTGGCCGTGACTTTGCGTGAAATATTGTCTTTAGCATTTTTATTATTTAACTTAGTTATAAATATAAAAACCTCACATATTCTATAATATAAACTTTCATCCCTTATTTTGCACCCTTGAGGGTAACATTTTTACAAATTGAATGTTGATAAACAGCTTAAAAATAAGTTTGAAGCTTCTAACTGTGAAAGTTATATTTTTTTAACGCTCTTTCAACCCCTAACAACCCTTTTATTGCGTTAAAAACTAGCCTATGTCCTTCCTAAGGTTCTAGACTATCTGTCTATCAAATTTTATTTAAATAGCTTCTGTAGTTTCTGCGTGAAAGGACATACAGACAAATACTTTCGCATTTATAATATTAGTAAAAGAGCGTCGGTGGTTCACTATATGTCCCCATTGTGTGTCTCAGAGTGTACCCTAAGTGAGAGTATGTGATAGTGAATGCTGGTGCATTGCAAGACTTGACACATATGTTTGAGTTTGTCAGATATGTGCAGCATCACGATGTTTTCCTTCACCGTAACAACATAGGATAAATGTACATATGTAAATGTAACACATTCATACATCACGGGATTACAACACAGGATCTACAGATTGCAAGTCAACTGATTAACCACTGAGACATTGCCCTCACTTAACACTTAGGGATGACAGTTTTTTTTTTTATTGCTATTTTCGTTTTTTTTTGCAATTCCAGCAATCACCACCTCCCATCACTGAAGAAGCAACGCCTGGTGTTAAGCCGATTAACTATGCGGCTGCAGCGAAAGCTAATAAACCTAAAAAGTCAACATCACCGCCAACAGCAGAGAAGATAATCAAAGAGAAACCTAAACCTGTTGAAAAGACGGAAAAAAAGGAAAAAATATTAATAAAAGATGTGAAGCCGAAGGAAAAAGTTAACGTACAAAGAAAAAATTCAACCAAGTGATTGAGATGTACAAAAAAATTAACATTTTTTGCCGTTTTTTTTTTCGGTCAGTATGTGAGTTTTTTTTTCTTTCATTTTTTTGTTTTTTTTTTTGTAATTAGTGTGTAAAGTTGTGATATCCATAAAATAGCATTTTTTTTGCGTTTGGGAGAAAAAAAATTAAAAAAAAAATACAGTGTAAAATTATGTGAATATTATATTAAGAATATATTTAGTGTAACTACCTTTTTGGTGGACAGTTCGCTAGTTTACAAAATGACGGACTTCAGTCTGTTTGTAGGATAAGTTAATTACAATGCAAAATTAATTAAAAACAAAAAATTATAAGTTTTATGAATATATTTGACATTTAAATATTTTAAAAAATAATTTTCTGATTACAATCGTTATTAATATTGTGGGTAGATAGATATTTTTCTTATTCAATTATCTTCTAAAACTAATTTCTTTTATTATAGTTTTATCTCTCCATACAAATACATACAAAATTGTAGTTAATTTTGACGATATCGACTTTAACACTGACTTACTAGATAGGCTATAAGTTAATATATTTTGTGCCTATTTGATATCAGATTTGTTGCAAAATTATGTTACTTCGAACTAAGCAAAAGATGGCTCCTATGTAAACTATGGTTTGTCTAAATTTCACATTTTTTTTTGAAGAAATACGATTATTAACAATCAATTATGCCAATAGTCTAATAGTTAAAAGTACGGATTTCCGATCATGTGGTCGAGAGTTCGAATCCCAATATTCGACTTTTAGATCACAAGTCTCAACAGCTTAATTGATACAAGAAATATTAGTAAATTAATTAATTAAAATCTACAGTTATCTTTTCTAAAGTAACTATCAAATTTAAAAAATAGATAGTTGATTATTCTCAGATCTACTAAACATTCGTATAAAATTTCATAAAAAGCAATCAAGTCGTTTCCGAGTATGGTAACTAACATTGTGACACGACAATTTTATACATAACTAGCTGTGCCCCGCGACCCCGTCCGCGTGGATATATAAAAAATGAATAAATAGTATCCTATGTCCGTCTCCTGGCTCTAAGCTACCTCCTCAACAATTTTCAGGCATATGGGTAAAGTCGTTCTTGAGTTATAAATAGTGTAACTAACACAACTTTCTTTTATATATATAGCTGTCGCCCGCGACTCCGCTCGGAAATATCAATAATAGAGATAAAAACTACCCTATCTTACAAATTTGACTAAATTAAAGATACAAATTTACCTAAGATTTTTTTTTTATAAAATAGCAGTTTTTTTGTAAATTTACTAAAATTTCTTTTACCATACCAACTAATCTCTATGCTTGTGCTAGGATATGGTTTGACAATAGTCGAATGACGGGATTCGAACCCCCGACCTCGTGATCGGAAATCCGTATCCTTAACCATTAGATTATTGACGCTTATAAATTAATTAGTTTAATAGTTTCGGAGTTTATCGTGAATATAATTTAAATTAAAAAAAAATCATAAAACAAACTTATCATAGTTTACATAGGAGCCATCGAAACGTCATTTCTAAACATCTGTCTTATAGAAGTCGGTGAATTTGTGTTTTTTTTTTTTAATATAAATTGTTTGTTAACTTTCCTAAGATGTTTGTATATAGCATAATAAAATTTAAAAGTTAAAAAATAAAACATAATTATTTTATTTTACGAAAATAAAACTAACATTTTTTTTTGTTTAAATAATTGTTAATTTAGTTAAGTTAATGATTATAATAAAATCGGTTATAATATTGAAACGATTGTCAATATTAAATCGTTATAACCGATGTTTATTTTAAAATGAATTTTTTATATCATTAATTTATCTAAATTAACTTATATATAAATATTATATACATATTTAAGATTATATAAAATTATTTACCAATAGTTTAGAGAAATTTCTCATAAAAAATGCTATAATTCTCGTCTTGTAGGTGAGTTAAAAATAGTCAATCCTTTAAATGTCACTTTTGCATTGAAAATATCATCAGGAGACTTTTTTTTTCAGTTTTATTTTTGTCCTAAATATAATAATAAAGATATTAATTTAAAGATTTCATCTAACTATGTAGCTTTTAAATGTTTTCGTATATTTTCTAGAAATATCTATAGGAAATGGAATAAAATCTTTTTTTTTTATAATTCCTTTTGTCAAAATCTTCTTTAATATTGTGGTTGTCTTTCGTCTAATGTTTGCACTTTTTTTTTCAACTTTTAAATTAGTATTTACCTACTTATTACTTTTTAAATAATCTATTATGTATATTTTACATTAGTTTTGACAAATAGATTTTATTTTTTTATGTTTACGAATAAAAAACTTTTCTTCAAAATTTTAAAAATTACTTTTAAACGACGTAAAATTTGTACGTAATGTATTTTTTGCTCTTAAAAGATGTTTGAATTCTTTAATTTCTTTCCGCTAATAGTTTTAATGTTTTTTTTTTATAGTTAATTAGTCTCTTATCACTTACTTGACGTGTTTTTGTTGCTGTTAAAAAAACGCACGCTAGTGTCCCGGGTATATACTATTAGTTGTTAAGATTATTGTAGGTTAGCTGTCAGAGTGACGTTTATCTTTTTTTTTTAAATATAGACACTTGTGGGTTGCCATGCGCGGAAATTGTTTGTGTCAGCCACTAATGTAACTTTTGGTAGGTTTAAAAGTTAGGATTTGTTATAGTTTAGGTGGATAAGACATTTTTTTTTTAGGTTAGATTAGTGACGGCGTACGGACTTTTTTTTTTGCTTTTAAATTTTGGGTGTATCTTTTTTTTCGTCTTGTTTCTTGTTATTTTTGTATTTTTTTTAATAATTTTATTCAAGAAAATAACCACAATTGTGCCTTAATTTTAAAATTGATAGTTTGGTAAAAAATATTGTTCTATATTTTGTATTACGCTACAGAGAAATCGTTTTTTTTTTTTACTTCTGTTCACTTTTTTTTCTATAAATATCTGTACGTCGTCGTTCGAGCTCACGTATTATATATAAAAAATATTATATGTACATGTAATTTTATTTTTAATCTGTCACAATAATTGACTTTAAAATGTTTATAGACAAATTCCCAATATAATGTAAAGTATAGCCATGTTTGTTTTTTTTATACCTACCTTCATTTTTCTTTTTTTTTAGTTTTCTAACAGTGGGGACCAACCCTTAGTTACATGTCGCAAATCAGCCCTGAATTTAGTATTTGGGGTACGAAGTCGCCAGCATTCACTATCACGTAGTCTCACTAAGGGTAGACTCTGAGACCCTCAGTGGGGGCTTAGTGATGACATAACCCCTAAAGCATGGTAGAAAAGACGTAGTAAAAATGTCGCCCAGAGCACAGTTTCTTTGAAGCAATTGTTAAGGAAAATAAAACAATTTATTTAAAAGACTTCATTTATTGCATATTACATTTTATATAACCGTTGTATTCCACTGCGGTGATTATACACTAGCGGATGCACGCGACTTTGACCGCGCGGAATTAAAAAATAGTCGATATAACTATGTCTATGTTCTGGAGATTAGTATATATATTACAAAAACATTTTTGTTACGCAAATGTGTCCGTGGACATACGTACAGACACTCAAATGTTTAATAAATGCGAATGTTTAAATATATGTTTGAAGATATCTCCAGAACTACTGAACGGATCTTGTTGCAATTTGTCATACATATAGAACATAGTCTGGAAGAACACATAGACTACTATTTTTTTTTTATTCCGCGCAAACGGAGTCGCAGGCGACTAATATATTTACATAACTAAGGGTCCGTTCACACAAACCTTCGCAAATAATATTCAAAGTTTGTTAAAATCAGACATCATTTCAATGTGTTTAAGTTAATTTGCAAAAGAAAATACAGCTCCAGTCTCCACCCTTGTCTTAAACGGACCTTTAATTCTAACCTTATCTAGACTTAAACAACTAGATATAATATATTTTTATATATTAAAAGTGACATTAAAATACGTAAAAATTACGAGTAATCATTATTTTCTAGAAAATTTCTTATTAAAAATAAAGCGAGGAAGATAAAATCTAATTTTTATAAGAAAAAATGGAGATCATTCATACTTATATTATAAAGCGGAAGAGTTTGTTTGTTTAAACGCGCTAATCTAAGGAAGTACTGGTCCGATTTGAAAAATTCTATTTTTATTGGATAGTCCATTTATAGAGGAAGGCTTTAGGATATATAACATTACGCTGCGACCAATAGTTTTTTTTTATTCCGCGCGGACGAAGTCGCGGGCGACAGCTAGTTTTAAATACATTTATAAATATTTGTATAGTTATATAATCGTTGAAAATTCATTGAAATTCTTCCAACAACAATCTTATTAGCTAATTATTGCATAATTAACGCATAGACGTTACTATTATAGTTTTTTTTCTATTAATTAAAAAAAATATTTTTTTTGAAAAATCTTTGTTGTGATTCAGCTGTACTTTAATATCACTAGGCACATTATAAAATAACGAATTAGGACCTTAATGAATGATTAAAAGTTTCGTAAAATTAAAAAAAAAATTACGAAAAATTTTTTTTTACACCCAACCTATATTTTTTTTATCTTCCATCTTTATTTTTCAAGGGGTGAGGGGATTTAATCTTCTATTCTAGTTAACCTTATAATTTAATATTTAACTAAATTACAAAGTAAAATTAGTTTACAATACGACAGACCAATAATAAAAAAAGATTCGCCAAATCATAAATTTATTTCAAACTTTAAAAAAAATCCCAAAAAATCAAATGACACCCTACACTTTTTTAATTGTATTAAAAAACCCTTACTAAGACATAAAAAAAAACTGAATTAATACATATAAGTAATCTTCCTAAGTTGTGTTAAAAACAAATTACCATGGGTTTCTAAAACCCAAATCTGTACAAAACTCATCATCTTTGTCTCAACAATATGTTTTTAACCGGCTTCTGAAACTCACTGTTAGTCGATTAAAAAAATGCTCTTCAAATTTAAATTACATATCCTTTAGTTGTATTAAAAATCAATAAACATGAGTTTCCGAAACCCAAATACGTATATTTCAAACTGAGACCGGTCTCAGAAACTCAGTTACTCGATTAAAATACCATACTAAGTCAAACTACTATCTTCACTAATATTATTCGTATCAACAAAAGTAACACACCATTCATCACCTTGTGATTCAACCTTATCATCACCCAACTGTGGCTCACACAACTCTACGGGATTACTCCCAATCAAGCCGACCAACTCATCATACTTCTTCTTCTGTTCATCAGACAAAGTTGCCGGATTATGATATTTCAAATGATAATTCAAATGACTACTCTGTTTAAATCTTTTATCACAAATGCCACATTGGAACGGTGATACATTTGTGTGTGTCCTCATATGTTGTTTCAGATGTACAGATTGACAAAACGATTTATTACATATAACACATCTGTACGGCCTCACTTTTGTGTGTATCCTAAAATGTTGCTGTAAACCTGATTTCTGTGTGAATGTCTTTGAACATATCGTACATGAAAATGGTCTGTATCCCGTGTGCATACGTGTATGTTGCTGTAATCCACCTTGTTGGGTGAATCTCTTATGACATATTGTACATTCAAACGGTTTTAACTTAACATGAGCTTGACTACTATGCTCTGATAATTCTTTATTACTTTGAAAACCACTACCACATACCTGGAATGATAAATTTATATAAATATGAAGGCCTAAGAAGGGTAAATGGGAGGGTAATCCTGTGTTCAAATCACGCCATGTACCAATGTGTTGTTACGGTGAAGGAAAGCATCGTGATGATGCACATATCTGACAAACTCAAACATATGTGTCAAGTCTTGCACTGGACCAGCATTCACTATCACATACTCTCACTTAGGATACACTCTGAGACCCTCAGTGGTCATATAGTGAGCTGATCATCATCAGCTCACTATACATCCCCTAAGTTAAGGGTGATTAGGTCATAGTCAACCACGCAGGCCAAGTGCGGGTTGACTTGACACATATGTTTGAGTTTGTCAGATATGTGCAGCATCACGATGTTTTCCTTCACCGTAACAACATAGGATAAATGTACATATGTAAATCAGAAATCTAAAAACACATTGGTACATGGCGGGATTCGAACGCAGGACCTACAGATTGCAAGTCAAGTGCTTGACCACTGAGCCACCGACGCTCTCTCTCTCTCCGAGCTGATGTTATAATGAAGGCCTAATATAAATCCTATTCCCTTTCAATGCATTACTCAATAACTTAACAACAATTAAACATAACTTAATAAAATTTGACACAAACATAGAACTTAGTCGAGGAACACATCAAATAATTTCCACAAATCTTACTTAATATTATAAATGTGAATGTATAGATTTATGTTTGAAAGTATATCTCCGGAACAACTCAACAGATCTTGATGAAACTTGTCATACATATAGAACATAGGCTACTAATTATTATTTTTTAATTGCACGTAAAGTCGCGGGCGACAGCTAGTTATATAAACAAACTCACCCCACAACTGTATATAGCTTGAGGATCAGCTACCGCATTCAATGGCTTCTCACATACTTGACAACGGAGACCTTTTCTTCTCCGAGTATGTTCATCTCTAAAGTGAACTGAATAGTCACAGCACGAGAAGAATATCTGGTGACATGTACCTTCAGCCACCAGGGTTGATGGTTGCAGACATTCAAATGGACCGCTACGAGAAAGATAATATCGGTTATGGGATTTCAAAATATCTTTGAGTTTTAGTAATTTAGAAAAACTTTATCTTACTATTATAATATTATAAATGTTTGGATGTATGGATGGAGTAGCTGTCGCCCGCGACTTCGTCTGCGTGATATTAAAAATAACTTTAGTAGTCTATGTGTTCTTCCAGACTGTTCTATTTGTAACAGATTTCATATGAAATTTGTCATACATATAGAACATAGTCTGGAAGAACACATAGGCTACTAAAGTTTTTAATTTCAAGCGGACAAAGTCGCGGGCGACAGCTACTACTTTGATAAATTCCACACTGTGCCTTTTCTTCATTTTTTTGTCAAATTAACATCATATGTTAATCAGTTGACTTGCAATCAGCATGTCCTGTGTTGTAATCCCGTGATGTATGAATATGTTACATTTACATATGTACATTTATCCTATATTGTTATGGTGAAGGAAAACATCGTGATGCTGCACATATCTGACAAACTCAAAGATATGTGTAAAGTCTTGCACTGGACCAGCATTCACTATCACATACTCTCACTTAGGGTACTCCGAGACCCTCAGTGGAGTAGTGAGCTGATGATATGATTGGTTTAAACTTACGTAATAGGCTGCGGATCTCTTTCTTTCTTCGGAGTCATAACTTTTTGCCTCTCTATTTTATCTTTGTCAATTTTTTCCACTTTCTTCTTTTTTATTTGTGGTCTTTCCGTTGTATCTTCAGATTTAACTATAATATAGCTAACATCTTCTGACGCCAACTTTGTTATACTTGTTGGAGTCATAGAAGCTATTAGTTCTCTTGTCTTCTCTTCTACACTTTTATCTTCTTCTATTTTAGGTACTGATGGCTTCTTAGTCTGGAAAAGAGTAAAATTTTTCAATTTTACCTATTTTTGCAACTCTATACATGGGGAATAATAAAAAAATTGTAGCATGTGTGATCTTCCAGACTATGTTCTACATCTATGACCTTCAAACAAACATCTGACCATCCATCCATCTAAACTTTCACATTTATAATATTAGTAAGAAGTAAAAAAATAGAGCGTCAGTGGCTCAGGGGTTTCAGCACTTGACTTGCAATCCAACCAATGTGTTTTTCGATTTTCGATTTACATATGTACATTTACGGTGAAGGAAAACATCGTGATGCTGCACATATCTAAAAAGAAATTCAAAGATATGTGTAAAGTCAACCCGCACTTGGCCAGCGTGGTTGACTATGACCAAATCACCCTTAACTTAGGGTAGGCTCCGAGCACCTCGGTGGGGAAGTATAGTGAGCTGATGATGATGAAAAAATTGTTTGTTAATATTTTTACAAACTAAGAAACAATTTTTACCATACTATTAAAAACTCAATAAATCTGTATAACTCAACGAATCAACGTGCAAATTTATCATATAATAGTAAAATGTAGCCATATAAATACATTGTAAGTGTTAGGAAGAAAATCCGACACTGCCAGTGTACTGGTAACACTAGCCTTATTAACCCATTAGTGCATTTTTTTTTATATCAAAATACTGTTTAAAAAAATAAACGGTTAGTAAATATATAACTCCTAAAATAACAATTTTATTGGCGTGCGATTTATCGAACGTTATGCACTAATGGGTTAAAATATAAACGTTTATGTCCCCTCACTACATCTAACACTTGACTTTGTAACGAAAGCGCGCTTATGCCAAAGGATTCTAACTAGTTTAGTCTATAAATACTTACAACAACTTTAGTCCATAACGCTGGATCACCGTTAATGTATATTTCAGTGTGTTCCATACGTGCATGATTTCTCAAAGCTAATTCGCTTACAAAGTGCTTGTAGCATATTTTACACGACACTGTGTCTTCATCTTCATCTTCCGATATTTCTTTCTGAAACAACAGAGATTAAAATGTATAAACAGTGGTAGAATGGGCACCATTTTGTTGTATATACAGCTTGGCCGCTAAGTTAGATGTAACTATGTGATAGTGAATGCTAGCCCAGTGCAAGACTTGACACATGTGTTTGAGTTTGTCAGATATGTGCAGCATCATGATGTTTTTCTTCACCGTAACAACATAAGATAAATGTAACACATTGATACATGACGGGATTATGACACAGGACCTGCTTCCAAGTCGCTTAACCCCTGAACCACCTATGCTCTTGACTCACATTACTCTATTAAATCCCCCAAAGACAAGTTAAAAATAGTGGATGCCAGAAATCTACTTCTTCTAGCACTATGGTAGAGACACTGACACTGCTCCTTACACCTTTTTATCATTAATGTAATTTAATTTATGTAAATCAATAAAAATTTACCTTAACTTTAGGCAATGGCACAATGTTTACTGTTCTAACTGGAGTAGCCATCTGAAATAATGATTACGTTATTATTACAACCATTTTAAAAATGTTTGCCATTTAAATTTAGCGCGAATCAAGCACTTTCTTGCTTCCAAATTCCTATATTTATACATAAGAGTTCCTATACCGCTTTTACGATATCTTTATATAGAAATTGATGTCCGACAAAATAGACTATATATTTTGTTACTTTTTATCCTAATTACGTACAAAACGCGATTTTGTGCCATTCACTCAGATAATATTTTACTAAATATTTGCCAAAGATGTAATTTTTATTGCGCAAACCAAATAATTACGCTGAAGTAATATTAAAAGTATATAAATTAGAGTGTTTCTTACGAAACATTAATATTAAACACAATTTCACTTCAAATTCGCACCAAAACAGCGGGAAACAAAAAATGACAAAATAACTTTTTAATATTTTGGACACTTTGATTTTACATAAACAGAAAACTATAATTGATTGAACTTATTTTTTTGGAAACACTTTCTTATTAAACGTAAAGACGAATGCCTAAATTATTTAGAAAATCAAAAATATCTTTAAAACAAAATTTAATCCGTACCGTCAGACAATAGAGAGGCGTTTGTTTTTTTTAATTAAAAAAATAGAATCGTTTAAAAAAAGAAAAAAGTAAAAACTATGGTGAATCACAAAATGTCAAATTGACACTTTATTTTTAATCGCTCGATCAATAAAGTCTCAATCAGAAAATGAAAAATATGAAAGATTTCTTAAAAACACAACAAGAATACATAAGTTAATAGTTATTTGCTCGAAATAGAATGTAATGCAAAGCCGCCATTTCGTATTTCGAGTTACGTGTTTCAAGTAGATTAAAAATCAATATCTTGTCTATGGTGATTACGAAAATAAATTTTGTAAAGAGTCTGGATACTTATAAATTTGCCGGTGAATTAAATCATTTAAATCAAATCAAATTAAATCAACTTCATCAAACGATTATTACTATGATATCGAAAAGAATATGTTTTGCATAATTTCTTCCCTTACATTTTGGTCGTACTAAACACTCAATAAAAATGCTCGTATTCCCGCCTTATTTAACTTTGGTAGGTTAGTAAGTGTTGTCACATTTTTAGTAGTACTCTTAACAAATATAAAAGTTTAATCAATATGGTAGTAACTAACGTTCGCCTCCAAAAATGGCCACAAAAGCAACAACAATAAAAGAAGCCATCAAGAGATGGGAAGAAAAAACTGGCCAACATGCTGCAACGGCCACAGAAGTCAGTCTTATATTTCAATGGCCACCTATAGAAAAGATGGACAATTCTTTATCCTGTCTAGCAAATTGCGAGTAAGTTATTTCTGCACACCATAATAAAAAGAAATTACTTAATGTTATTTCTATTCGGCATTTTTATTTTTAGGAAATTGAGTTTGTCAACTAATATGATTGAAAAGGTCACCGGTCTGAACAGTTTAAAGAAGCTTCGTATTTTATCTTTAGGAAGAAATTACATTAAATCTTTCGCTGGCATGGTATTATATTTTCTTGAAAAACTACAATAAGTTCTCCTTCTTGTATGCCTTAACCGTACTTCTTTAAGCATCAATTACATATCCTATTATTTTTTTGCACATTTATTTCAATCGAATGATGAGAAATATTGTTTCTAGTTAGCCATTTTGTCAAGTAAAGTGATTAGTTCAATGTTGTAACCCGTATAAAGATGTCCTCCGCTTGCTTTTTAGCATATATTTCGATAAAAGTAAAGACTTTACGTAATAATTACCTTTGACTATTGCTATTTGATTATAAAGATATAGATTGTTATTTAAATACAAACGAAATCGTAGGAACCACTAGGTGATACACTGGAGGAGTTATGGATATCGTACAATTTGATAGAAAAACTGAAAGGTATCAATGTTTTAAGGAATTTGAAAGTATTATATATGAGTAACAATCTAGTAAAAGAATGGAGTGAATTTAATAAGTTGCAGGTAAATATTTCCTAACTGAAATTATTATCATAGCCGTTAATTTTTATTGGGAATAATTTTTTCACGTTACACTTTTTTTTTTATAATTCTAGGAGTTACCAAATTTGGAAGACTTATTGTTTGTTGGCAACCCTTTGTACGATGCTTGTGAACTTGACGTTTGGCGCGCAGAGGCGGCGCGAAGATTGCCGCAGCTTAAAAAACTCGACGGTGAAACTGTTCTAAGAGATGACGATCCTCCTTTGACTGTGGCTGATATGCAGGTAATTTGTTCATTAAAATAACTAAAGTTGTAAGGCTAAAAAACTAACTCATCGTAAATTTTAGAATTGTAACTACAGTTTTTTTTTAATTTATCTCTTATTTTTAGCCCGACGGAGGCGATGGGGTTGAAACCTTGGTTAGCGCCGAGAAGAATGACTAACGTTGAATTTCCAAATTAGAAAAATTTAGAGAAACAATGTTTTATCACTATTTATAGCACACATAAAAAACATACAGACGAATTGATAACCTTCTTTTTGAAGTCGGCTAAAAATAGAATGAGAGGGATAACCTTTTTTATATGTTTTGCCATTGAAATTTACCGTAAATTACAACGAAAATAAAAAGTAATATGAAAAGTAGAAAATAAGATGGTATAAAAATCGTTTTTGTTTTTGATTTTTTTAATTTAAAAACCAACCTTCAAGACTGAAGAGGCACTAGAAGAAGAAGAAGAAGAAACATTATTCCAACTGGTAAAGTGAGGTGTAGACAATGACATTTCAACAAATTTTATTACAAAACAGTACAAAAGAATCTTATCATGGTTTTGCGGGTAACAATCGAGCAGCCATATCTCCTGCCTTAGCCTGCATTGGGGTAAATTTATCCCGGTCCTGTTCGCTCAGTGCACGAATTGAAAATAAGGGACTTCCGGGCTCCGACACTGAAATACATTAACTCTTATATTAAGATGAAATAAAACATCTCGATATAATCAGCTGCAATTAAATTCACTTGATATGTGAGTGAGTGAGCTAACTTATAGCAGTGGAACAGCAAGGTTGACTGAGGACTGGTTACTGACTTAAGGTAGGCAGGCTCCAAAAACCCAAGCATCTTCATAGTGACGTCAAAACTTTATAGCAGTTTGCTATACCTTTTAAATTTTCTCATCGCAACCAGAAGAGTTGCTTTACCAGCTAACCATACCAGTCATAAATTTTGAATGGCACATCCAAATAACGGAGAAGTGAAGTAAACGAATAACTCACCGGTATCTTTGTTATCAATCTCAGCTGATCTGAAGCGTTGTTTCATAGGTGATTTGGGTCTTTCAACAGATCTTCTGTAAAAATAAGTATAATGACTTGTTTATGTTATAATTATCGCTTTAAAAATGTATTACGCTTCCTGTAAGTTCCGAAAACAATGTTTAATCTAAATGTGATCATAGCGCCACATAACACTATGTAAGATTGTGAAATATTAGTTGCTTTAAAAAGGCAAACCGTAAATAAATGACAGATTTTTTTTTAAATATAGAATTTATTAAAAAATAATTCTCACGGATCAACTGTAATTTTCTTTTGATTGAATATACCATATTTGAGATGTGGTGAGCAAACTGCAGATGGCGACTCTATTGACATGTTTTTGTTGCCAGGCGTTCTCCTAAAGAAATTAACACCTACTATACGTGCACAACAACATAACATGTAAACCTATTGACGTCAATTACGTTCTACAGTCACGGCTACTTTTTTTTTGGTAAAAACACAGGAGTTAAATTGCTGTGGACGTCGAGTTTATAATTTAATAACAATAATAGTTGGACATATTAAAATAGCTCTTACGGTGTCCCCTGCGACAATGGTGTCTTGTCTATTCTTCCTTGTTCGAAATCTGATGTGCTACTCAGCCATGACTTGCAATACGGGCATGGAGGTTTTACACTGAAAGGAATAACTAGTAGATTTTTTAATAGTCGAGTGAACCTTTAATATGTAAAATACTTTAGGGAAAAATAGTTTAGTCAACTGGAGAGTACTATTATAGAAAAACTATGGATCTTTCTAGATCACAATAAAATCCTATACGTACGTGTTTCCTTTGCCTTTCTGACTGGCCTTCTTTTCTATGGCTTCTGAATCAGCAGATCTATTGTGGCTCCATGACTTTGATGAACATTTTGTAGCACTGGCACAAATAAAAAAAAACTATCAAACCTCTTTTGTTCAACGAATAAAATGGTGACGAGATAAAAATAGCTAACTCAAGATTGTTCTACTTTATAATACCTATGTTTCTTGCCTGTCTTAATGCCATGAACTCAAAAGCTACTTAGGGCTCAAGCTATTAAATAAACGTATTATGGAAGGCTTAAATGCTTAAACCACAACTTCTACTCATTCCTGTTTTTAACGCGTAATTTTATTTCCTATTTATATTTTCGTATGATTTTTTGTGATTGACAGTTCCATGATTATTTCGTAAAATAATATTTGGTAATTTTTGATAAAAACTAAAATAAAGCAACTTACTTAGAATTTGTTTTATCCATGATAAGGTTTATTACATAAACGTGTTGTAATTTTTACCTTTTTTAAATCACGAAATATGTAAACATGACGGAACACAATTTTGAAATAAAACGCCAATTTTATTATGAGATAATTTATTCTTCTGTTTTTGACAAAGAATTTAATGATATTGAGTGCCGTGTTCTTCTGATTAGTACCAAATAGAAACTTTTTTGTTCCTTAAATCTTCAAATATTGTCCTAAGTTAACTAAAGTAGTAATTACCTGAGACCCTTTTGTTATTTAAATCAAACTTGATGACTGAGATAAAAGATTTTATTTAATAAAACTGGACTAAAACAGAGATGTTATGAAATAAATAAGGATTAAAAACATATCGAGATTGAGTTCCAATTAATGATAAAACCGAATATTCAGACTAGAGTTGACAAATTCCAATGTTTTAATGTTATTCGACAAATTAAAATAAAACAAGTTGGGTAGAAAATAAAATTCATTTCTAGCAACACTGTGTGACATTTTCCTTAAATTACACATTATTTCGTTGCATTATTCTGGAAAATAAAAAGATTTTATTATTGAAAATACTGTCAGGTTTTTGGCGCTTTGCTTACAACAATACGTAATCGTGTCATATTATGTTAATATCAAAGTTACATCTTGAAATATATTAAAATAAGTAAGCGTCACACTTGTTGACATATTGCTAAAATTAGCTTTGTTCATTTTACGTGTTTTAGTGATGTTCATACGTACTACTTGAGAATCGATTACAAAGTTTCACTATATCGATTTTATGATTGAAATTAATTGTTACATTGTTAAAAACAAACACAAAATGATAAAGTTAAAGATCTTAAGAAAATAAAATAAGAACAAAAACTACAAAACTTTAATTTTACTTTATAAATATATGACTCACTAAATATAAATTTTTTAGCACCTACGATTTGAGTCTATACTGCGGAGTCATTATTTTAGGAAAATGGTCATATTTACATAGCTTTAAAGTATAAATATTATTTAAAGTTCACATGTCAATCCAAAAATCGAATATTTACTCGATTTTAATCGATAACCAATTAACTCGCATTATTCTCATTTGTCAAACACTAGCAATTATTTCCTTACATCAGTATTGTGTACATCACTGTATTAGTGTGTGTAAACGTCAGATTTCCAAGAAATTCGCCTGGCCGCCGGAGCCTCGGTGCCTGGATTTGGAAACCGTTCGATACAGGTGTAATTCAGTTCCCAGTAGCTATGAACCCACCTCTTTTCGGGTGTATAATACAGATAGATATATTATAAAAATATATTCAGTGTTATAAACTAAAAATACGATATCTTTAGATATTTTTCCTTATCGCACGAAGAAGTTTTTTTTCTTGACTATTGTAATCTGTATTCTCGGAATCGTGAACTACGCATATTGAATAAGGTAGGTTGCTTAAGGTATTTAATATAGATAAGTGATTTAATATTTAATTATCTACGTGTTAAAGGCATTTCCTGGTTACCATGTTGTTTATATGCTATTTTTAATACAGTTTTTTATTTTATAAGTTTGTTGCTATATGAAGATGTATTACCGGTCAGTAACTAAAGGTTGAATGTATTTAACAACCTCTTTTGTAACATGAAAAACATTTATAAACTAATTTGATAATTGTTAACTTGGATATAAATAAATTCCTTTGTCTCTAATTCTTAATTTTTACTTTTCCATCTTACTCTTATTAATATTATAAATATGAAAGTTTGGATTAGATGTTTGTTAGAAGGTATCTCCAGTACAGTTTAACAAATCTCGCTGAAATTTGTCATAGATGTATAACATAGTCTGGAAGAACATAGCCTACTAATGTTTTTTTTAATTCCTTGCGGATGGAGTCATGGGCGACTAATATGTTATATTTGGGATAAAATCACAAAGATTGGACATTTTTTATATCATAAGGTGGCAAATGAGCGAGTGTCCACTTGAAATCGCTAAAACAGCGAAGCGATCGTTGCCCATAGACACACGCAATCGCATATGCGTTGCCTACCTTTAATCGACGGAGGATGCACAGAAAGAAAATATTTTCCCTTTCCATGCATCCTCTCATCCGAAAAGTCCACTACCACTTCCTATGCTTTCCTTATAAGAAAAAGGATGCGAGGGGAAGGAGGACTAAATAAGGCCTCTGGGACGCACACTCATCAGATGAAATGCGGAATAGCTTCCACTTGACGCCTGTCTTCTGTGTGGTCGTGGTATTTCACCAGGCGAGCTAGGCCAATTCGTGCGAAGATGTTAAAGTAGGCTCTACCACTGTTAAAGATTTTTTATAATATTAGTAAGCTTTTTACTCTAATTGTCTGGCTTAAGCAAGACTTAAAGAACCAGCAATTGACAAGGTGACATTTGATTCTTCTTTCTTTGAGTGACAGTCAATTGGATTTTATTTTTTTTAATAAATAAATAGTGTTAAATTTTCTTTCCAGAGTTCACCATGTCGCTTTGGGCGAGAGCTCAGCAGCTGCCCCAAGAGAGCTTGCAGCAGGTATGTTACATCCCCACTCTCGGGTCTAAGAGTCTACCTTAAGTGAGAGTATGTGATAGTGAATGCTGGTCCAGTGCAAGACTTGACACATATGTTTGAGTTTGTCAGATATGTGCAGCATCACGATGTTTTCCTTCACCGTAACAACATAGGATAAATGTACATATGTAAATGTAACACATTCATACATCACGGGATTACATCACAGGACATAACCAGTTCAGTTAATCTGGTAACGAATATACAGGATGTTTTTTTTATTTTCACTTGTTTTTTTTAAAGGTACGTGCCATCTATGGGGATCATTTCCCTATAGAAGTTCGTCATTGTCTCGCATCCTGGATAGAGAGTAGAATATGGTGAGTATACGTGCGCGATAACATATGTACTACGCGTGGACTATAACATAGCACGTAAAAGTCATTATACGTGTACTTATTTCTTAGTTCTATACATTTTTGAAATTCGTTATAAAATTCGGAGTGAATTCACTTTGTCTAGCTTTCTAGTCTAGCTTTATTTATAGGTTAAAATAATAAAGCATAGTTAGGGTTAAAAGTAGATTTCTAGGAGAAAAAATGGTTTTGGTTTTGTGGTCTTCCAGGACCACGGAGCCGGAAGAGCAGCAGAGATACTTCGTGGAGGAGTTGGTCCAAGAGATCCAGACCAATGCTGACTTGATGTTATCTCCGGAGATGTTTGTCACTCAGATGAAGTTAAAGGAAGCTGCTAATAACTTCAGAGTGCAGTACAGGTAAAGTTTACATTAGCGAAACATTGACACGAAACATGTTTTCTTATACCTAACCTATATGTTCGAAATTAACACGTTATTTTTACGTTAACATTGATTTTTATGTCTCGTAATTGTATCTTTTATTTTGACGAGATATTTGATTAGTTTGTCAATTTCTAATGATATAAACAATTCACGCTGTAACCCAATGGGGTAGGCAGTGGCTACAGACTTTATCTTCACATAATCGTATATATACATACATATCCATTGGTTTCTGGCACTTTTAATACCAAAATTTCTAAGTATTTCACCAATTAAGATTGATTGATTTGTCTAACCGTGGGTTTCTGACAAAATCTCTATATAAAAAAGGTCGTCATCCTTATAATCATCTTTGACAACACAGTGTTCACTATATTGTAAACAGAGATTATGGTATCAAAAACCCACAGTACGCTGATTAAGCTAGAATCATTGTCCGGTGCCGGACGACCTCTATAAGCGGGAAACTCTTGTTAGAGAAAACTCTGTAAGCGAGAGTCATTGCTCGCTGTTTAAGCGAGAAACTCGTGTTAGAGAAAACTCTATAAGCGAGAGTCATTGCTCGCTCTTTAAGCGAGAAACTCGTGTTAGAGAAAACTAAAAGCGAGAATCATTGTTGACTCTATGAGCGAGAACCTCGAGTTAGACTTTCTCTCTATAAGCGAGAATCAACACAATCCCTTGGACTCTCGCTTATCCAGTTTGTATAGTTTCGAGACATCTAGCATTTTGTTACAGTCATGAACCGCACAAGCTATACGCTTACCTGCGTCGTTGCTTGGCTTTGGAAATGGAAGTAATACAAAACGCAATGGGAACACCTTATGTTGCTCAACCTCATACTGAGAGGAAATATAGTGAGGTAAGTATTTAAACGTAGACTTTCATTGCAGTGATATTTGTATAAGGTTCTTTACAGTGGTAGAGGCAGCTTTATCTTGGCAGTAATTGTCTCACCCGGTGGAATACCACGACCACATGACACGCCTCAAGTGCGAAGCTATTTTAACTACAGTCTGATGAGTGTGATGAGGCCTAATTTTAGTCGTCTTTCCCTTCTCACCCTTTTTTATAAGGAATGGATGGGATGGGGGAGTGGATATGACGGAGAAGTCCGGTGCAGTACCACGAGGACACAGAAGACACGCCTCAAGTGCAAAGCTATTCCAACTACAGTCTGATGAATGTGTTCTAGAAGCCTAATTTTAGTTGCCTTTCCCTTCCTTTTTTCTTATAAGGAAAGAATTTGAAGGGGCAGTGAATTTGACGGAGAAGGGTGCATAGGGATGGGAAATGTCTTTTTGAGCGTGTCCTCCGTTGATTAGAGGTATGCATCTACAATTGTGGATGTCTACAGGTAGCGGTTGATTCGCTTTTTCGCGAATTTAGATGTCTCTTTCGTGATGTTTTTAGCATGTTGACTATCACGTATCCTTTTTATGAACTAATATATCCGCAATTCCAGAATGTGGTAAAGTCCAATTTAAAAATAATTAAAAACTAATCCAAACTAGATTTTATATTTCTATATATTTGTTTCAGCTAATAACCGGTCTTCAAAACGTAAGACAAAAAGTCAGTATGGTTGGTGAAGAGATCAGATCACTTCAGGCTAATATTGAATCTTTCTCACTTCAATATCACGAATGCTTGAAGAATAAAGGTTAGCATAATGTATTGCAAGCTAGCCGTCGTCCGTGACTCCGTTTTATCAGCCTATGTTTTCTTCCAGACTATGTTCTATATGTATGTCAAATTTTAGCGAGATCCATGCAGCAGTTCTGGAGATATCTTATAACCAACATACATCTAAACATTCGCATTTATAATATTAATAAAATAATTAAATTTTCTTAGAAAACTTCGAATATATCGAGAAAATTCTATAAGCGAGATTCATTCGCTCTATAAGCGAGAAACTTGTTAGAGAGAAACCTCTATAAGCGAGAAAAATCGTAGGCTCTTGGACTATAATTTAAACATTTTCGACTCAATCTTCAATTACAATGAATATTGAAGAGATATAATATAAATTATTAATATTTTAGGTCATATAAATTACCTGCAGCAGTCAGGACCTATCACTGCAGAACGCAGAGAGCTGGAAGCTCATCTCCGTGTCCAGATCGAGGATATGGAGAGGAAGCTTAATGCACTGGTAAGATGAAAGTGGTAGATGGTCTTTGGGGGTCTTGGTACTTTTTGGGAGTATGATAACGATTTTAGGGGGCTTGTCTTTGGTTTTTTGGGGGTCATATAGTAGAGTTTGGGTGACTACTTCATTTTGGGCGTCTTAATTTTTTTGTGGGGTCTTGTTCATTTTTTTTTTTGGTGATTTTATCCTTTTCAACTGGATTCACTATGACTTAATCACTGACTTAGGGTCGGCTCTGAGACTCACAGTGGGGTATGGTGAGCTGATGATGATAGTCTATATATTTTGTCTTAATTCTAGGTAGCACAAATAAATCAGTCTCAAATGGAGTTGGTGGATCGTATGAAAGATAATATAGCTAACTTACGTCAGCTTCAGAGTCAAGTTTTGGATGAGGAGTTGATTAAGTAAGTCACAAATAACTAGCCTAAGTGACTCTTGCATATATAAGTTACTTTTCAGTTAAAGTCCGGTAAAAATCGGTCTAGCCGTTCCGGATATTGTCCGGAACAAACTCTGATTTGCGGACAAAACAGAAATTAAAACAAAATAGTTTTTCCTTATAAGTAACGCAATTGTTGTTAAAAAATATGTTTTTTTTCTTCAAATTTAACAAAAAAAATTTTTCTTTAGTTTTGAAAAAAAAAATTCTTGAAAAAAAAACAGTTTTTTCTTTCATTTTAATAAGAAAAATCTAATTTGAATTACACTTTTGTCGTAGACTTTAACAATGTTTTTTTTGAAAAACTAAAAAAAAAAATTTTTTTGGAAAAACCAAATTTTTTTTTTTTGGAAAATATAGATCAAATGATTATATTCCAGATGGAAACGCGAACAGCAACTAAGCGGCAACGGTGTACCGATGCAATCAAATCTGAACACTATACAAGAATGGTGTGAACTTCTCGCAGATCTGATCTGGACGAGTCGCCAGCAAGTCAACAATGTCGCTAGAATCAACAGCAAGACTATTGTTGAACTACGACAACCACATCTCGTTGAAATGCTTGATGATATGAGCAAACAGGTAGGGGAAAGTAATTTACTACTTATTTCAAACCCATACAATAGTGTTGAAAAAAGAAAGTGGTGTTAGTTACACTATTTATAACTCAAGAACGGCTTTACCGATATGCCTGAAAATTGGTGAGGAGGTAACTTAGAGCTAGGAGATGGACATAGGATACTATTTATTCTTTCAAAGAGCTGCTTTTTATTTAACTTATCTATATATTAGTTTTTTTATATATCCACGCAGACGGAGTCGCGGGCGACAGCTACTTTTTAACGAATAAAAAAAAAGAACTTTTTTTGTAAAAAAATCTTATGAAATAGATTTAGACCACGACTGCCTTTGCACAGAATTAGAAAAAAACAACTTAGTAGTCTATGTGTTCTTCCAGACTATTTTCTATATGTATGTTTAATTTCAGCTAGATCTGTTCAGTCTTTCGCATTTATAATATTAGTAAGATAAATTGTCATACATTGTAATTGCAGGTGACCAGCTTACTGTCTACCCTCGTGACTTCAACCTTCGTTATAGAGAAACAACCGCCTCAAGTTATGAAGACCAACACTCGGTGAGTTATACTAGCTGTCGCACGCGACTTCATCCGTGGGGAATTAAATAAACATAATTAGTAGCCTATGTTCTATATGTATGACAAGTTTCATCAAGATCTGTTCAGTTGTTCCGGAGATATACTTTCAAACATAAATCTAAACATTCACATTTATAATATTAACTAAGATTTGTGGAAATTATTTGATGTGTTCCTCGACTAAGTTCTATGTTTGTGTCAAATTTTATTAAGTTATGTTTAATTGTTGTTAAGTTATTGAGTAATGCATTGAAAGGGAATAGGATTTATATTAGGCCTTCATCGTCATCAGCTCACTATATGCCCTTACTGAGGGTCTCTGAGTACCCTAAGTGAGAGTATGTGATAGTGAATGCTGGTCCAGTGCGGGTGGACTTATTTCGTTTTTCGACAAAAAAAATTTTTTCAAATCCTCACATATGAACATCCTGTAGTAAAAAATGGTTTTTTTAAAAAATGACAAAATTATAGTAGTTTATAATTTCTCATATTCTTGTAAAACAATCAGATTTTTTTTATAATACAAATGCATTTTTTAAATAAGAAAAAATCACTTTTTTTTTTTTCAAAATATCAAATTATATAGAAAAAAAAAATTAAAAACTTACAGATTCTTTTTTTTTTCAGTTTTACAGCAACTGTCCGTTTGCTTGTCGGTGGACAATTAAATGTTCATATGACTCCACCAAGAGTTACGGTATGTTTACTAGATTTTTTTATGAATGTAACTAAACTCCTAGGTTACTTCTGCTTTCATCAGCTACCTTTCAGTCAAAGTCCCGTCGAAATCTGTCCTATACCTAACATTACAGGGAACATGCACAAACTTACAGACAGATATATAGACAAAAAAAATCGTTATAAGTAAAGGAAATACAGTATGTTCAAAAAATATTTTTTTCCGATTTACACTCCAATTTTTTTTTAACTATATTACTATTTTTTAATATGTATGTATTTATTAGCTGAGTCCGCGAGTCCGTCCGCGTGAAATTAAAAAAAATAATCAGTATAGTCTATGTGTTCTTTCAGACTATGTTCTATATGTATGACAAATTGCAACAAGATCCGTTCAGTTGTTCCGGAGATAATTTCTAAAATTCATCTAAACATTCGCATTTATAATATTAGTAACATTATTTCCTTGCGATTATTTGCGAAATTCACTTTAGTTTCCTTCAATTCTTGGAATAACCAGCATATTACTAGCTTTATATTAAAGTTTTTTTTTATTTAATTACCAGGTGGTAATAATATCAGAGCAACAAGCTCAGTTGTTGCTAAAAAGTGATACCCAAGGTGGTAGAGGAAAGCAACCGGTTGAATGTGGAGATATCCTCAATAATAGTGGATGTATGGAGTACCAGCATACCAGCAGGCAGCTCAGTGTCAGCTTCAGGTGAGGTTTATAGAGAAAAAAATGAAAAAAAATCGAAAAAAATTTTTTTTTTTTTTCTAATTTTTGGTAAAAAAAAATCTGTCATAATTTACAGGTTAAGAAATTTTATTACAGTTAAATAAAAAATTTTATTTTTTTTTTGAAAAATTAAAAAATTTCTTACTAATGTCAGATGATAAAAGTATTGATGTTTATTAAAAATCTCTACCATGTTAAAGAAGAAAAAATATTATACGCTAAATTCTATAAATTCAAGTAATTTTTTTAAATTTATTTTTTGTTGAATAAAATTAAAAACTTACCATATCAAAGAAGATAAAAAAATTACGCAAAATGCTATAAAATAAAAAAAAAAAACATTTTTTATGTTTTTCAAATTTTTTGCGTTAAAAAAATAAATTGTGTCTTTTTTCTCAGGAACATGCAACTGCGTAAAATAAAACGCGCAGAAAAGAAAGGCACCGAGAGTGTGATGGATGAAAAATTAACTTTACTCTTCCAATCGGAGTTCAATGTCGGGGGAGGAGAACTCGTCTTCCAGGTGAGGACATAACAGACTTCTACATACAACTAAACATTCGCATTTATATTACAAGCTTAAATTAAAAAAAATAGCAATCTATGTGTTTTTTAATTCCGGACAAAGTCGCGGGTAACAGCTAGTATAATAAGTAATTTATATATATAGGTATGGACACTGTCACTGCCCGTGGTTGTGATTGTCCACGGCAACCAGGAGCCCCACGGCTGGGCAACTGTCACCTGGGACAATGCCTTCAGTCCACCAGGACGTGTGCCATTTGCTGTACCTGATAAGGTAATACCCTAACTTTGGTCATTCATATTTGTATGACAAATTTCAGCTTAATCCGTTGAACTATTCCGGAGAAATCTTCTAATAGTCACCACTGAGGGTCTCGGAGTGTACCCTAAGTGAGAGTATGTGATAGTGAATGCTGGTCCAGTGCAAGACTTGACACATATGTTTGAGTTTGTCAGATATGTGCAGCATCACGATGTTCTCCTTCTCCGTAACAACATACGATAAATGTACATATGTAAATGTAACACATACATACATCACGGGATTACAACACAGGAGCATGCTGAATGCAAGTCAACTGATTAACCACTGAGTCACTGACACCTGTGTAAACATTCACATTTATAATATAAGTAAGATGGTACTGATCTGATGATGGAAGGTGGTCATAGCAACTGCACAAGACACAACCTCAAAGAGATGTATACCTCATTGGTATTGACGAGTAGTCGATCTTTTTAGGGTTCAGTACCATGAAAGGAAAACGGAACCCTTATAGGATCAAATTGTTGTTCGTCTGTCTGTCTGTTAATACCGTTTTTTATATCATAAGTTGACAAACGAGCGAATTTGAAATCGCTGAAATAGCGAAGCATTGCCTATACGCAATTTTATAGGCAGAGGAGGGGATGCACAGAATATTTCCCCTTCCAATGCATCTGGAAATTTTACACTTACTATCCTTATGAGAAAAATGGTTGAGAAGGGATTAGGACTAAAATTAGGTCTTTTTTTTTAGTTTAATTAACAAGAACATAAAAAATGTATTTCAGGTGACATGGGGTCAGCTGGCTGAGACTCTTCGCATCAAATTCGGATCAGCCACTGGTGGAGATCTCTCTGAAGACAATCTGCGCTTCCTTGCTGAGAAGATATTTAGGTATATACTAGCTCTAATCCGCGACTCCGTACGTGCTTAATTAAAAAAATACTAGGAATCAATATAGCTTATGTCATCCGGGAATAATTTAGCTTTTCAACAGTGAAATAATTTCTCAAATACCTTCAGTAATTTCGGAGTTTATTGAACACAAACAAACAGACAAAATTTTTTTTTATTGTATATAAGTGTCGTCCGCAACTCTGTCCGTGCTGGATAAAAAAAAACTTAATTAGTTGTCTATATGTTCTATATGTATGTCAAATTTCATCAAGATCCATACATCCGTTTTGGAGATATATTCAAACATACATCTAAACATTCGCATTTATAATATTAGTAAAAAGTACATACAGAAGTAATTCCCTATAGAACTGAACAATGCTGCTTAAGCCCCCCAATAGATTAAGCCTCTTATCATTAACTATATCCCTATCTTAAGTCTTCCATACAGGAGTGTTCTGCCGATCTCCACGATGGAACTGAACGCGATGGCCGTCAGCTGGACCCAGTTTTGCAAGGATGCGCTGCCTGAGAGGAATTTCACATTCTGGGAATGGTTCTACATGGTCGTCAAAGTCACTAGAGATTATCTGCGCACTCTCTGGTGTGATAGGTAAGATTCTTCATCATCATCATCATCAGCTCACTAAGTCCCCTCTGAGAGGCTCGGAGCCTACCCTAAGTTAAGGGTGATTTGGCCATAGTCAACCACGCTGGCCAAGTGCGGGTTGACTTCACACATATCTTTGAATTTCTTCTTAATTGATTTATTTTATGTGTTTTTTAAACAAATTTCCTAATATTGTTTATTTTTAATTAAATAGCTTTTATTATTCTCTCTTATAGATTGATTATGGGTTTCATACAGAAGAAACAGGCTGAGGAGATGTTGGCCAAGTGTCCTCCGGGCACTTTCCTCCTACGTTTCTCCGACTCTGAACTGGGAGGGATCACTATCGCTTGGACTGGAGGTAATTTGAGGATATTTATTATTTACAAATTTAAGTAAAATCTCCGACGTTATTGAGAAATCTATTTCTAAAAATGAGAAAAATATACTCTAAAAATGAGAACATTCGACTCTAAAAATGAGAAAAATCTATTCTAAAAATGAGAACATTCGACTCTAAAAATGAGAAAAATCTATTCTAAAAATGAGAACATTCGACTCTAAAAATGAGAAAAATCTATTCTAAAAATGAGAAAAATATACTCTAAAAATGAGAACATTCGACTCTAAAAATGAGAAAAATCTATTCTAAAAATGAGAACATTCGACTCTAAAAATGAGAAAAATATACTCTAAAAATGAGAACATTCGACTCTAAAAATGAGAAAAATCTATTCTAAAAATGAGAACATTCGACTCTAAAAATGAGAAAAATCTATTCTAAAAATGAGAACATTCGACTCTAAAAATGAGAAAAATCTATTCTAAAAATGAGAACATTCGACTCTAAAAATGAGAACATTCGACTCTAAAAATGAGAAAAATCTATTCTAAAAATGAGAAAAATATACTCTAAAAATGAGAAAAATTTACTATAAAAATGAGAAAAATTTACTATAAAATAGTTGAATTTTGCTTTAAATTCTTTACTGATATATCTGTTTGATATCCAGAAGGTAACGAGGTGTTCAGCCTGCAGCCGTTCACCTCTCGTGACCTGATGCTGCGCTCTCTGGCAGACCGCATCCTGGATCTCGCCCAGCTGCAGTTCCTCTATCCCAACGTGGCTAAAGATGATGTCTTCTCAAAGTATTATACTAAACCTGGTGAGTACTTTAGTACTGTAGCGTCGGTGGCTCAGTGGTTAATCAGTTGACTTGCAATCAGCATGCTCCTGTGTTGTAATCCCGTGATGTATGAATGTGTTACATTTACATATGTACATTTATCCTATGTTGTTACGGTGAAGGAAAACATCGTGATGCTGCACATATCTGACAAACTCAAACATATGTGTCAAGTCTTGCACTGGACCGGCATTCACTATCACATACTCTCACTTAGGGTACACTCAGAGACCCTCAGTGAGGACGTATAGTGAGCTGATGATGATTTATGTTTGTAGCTTAAGATTTGTTGGTGGATTTTATTAAGCAAGTATCAAGATGTTTAGTACCAAGTGTAAAATAGTTTACATTTTGTATTATTAAATATAAAAGAGTATTTTTTATAATAATTAAAGCTAAAATATGTGTATTTCGAATTCCATTAGCTCCGAAGTGTGGAATCAAATAGGCACAAAATACCACATCTCATGACCTGTCCATTTATAGATGTCAGTGTCAGTATTTGTCAGATTGACATCTGTCAAAAGGTCAAAGATTAAATGAGCAAAGATTAAAGAAGCAAAGATTAAAGAAGCGACATTAATGTATTTAACATTGTCTCTCAGAGAACGAGATGCTGAAGAACGGTTACGTGAAGCCAGTGCTGGTGACCACTTTGCCGCCGTACATGTCGCCATCGCCCGCGTACGCGCACTCGCATTCACCTGACTCTCATCGTAACACTCCCAGCGTTCAGAGCAGGTATGGTTTTTTTAAAATACGATAGCAAATTTACAGCACAGTATGTAGTTCTCCATACATTCTTTGGTCTTCTATTTTTGTAGGTTACATAGATCCTAATGTTACTCTTCCTTTTTTTTTCTTATAAGGTAATGGGAAGGGAAACTCTCTTTTTTGCGTCTCTATCGATTAAAGGTATCGCATTTGCAATGTTGGATGTCTATGGGAAAATCGCTTCGCTATTTTGGCGAATTCAAGTCGCTTGCTCATTTGCCATCTTATAATATAATTTTTTTTTATCATATATGCGTTGTCTACTTTTAATCGACGTAGGGACGCATTAAAAGATATCTCCCCTTCCTGTTAGTCCCCTCCCCTGTCAGTTCCCCTTCCTATCATATCCTTATAGGAAAGAAAAAAGACTTTTTTTTCGTGCTTGTTTTTTTTGTTTTTAATTTTTTTTTTACATTTTTGTTGTTTTTTATTTGATTTGTAGGTACATGCTTGAGTTTTGAATCTACGCAACGTGAAATTTATTTTTAGTTTTTTTTTGATTATTTAAGTTAAGTTTCATGTAAGTGAAATAGTCACATCCTTTTGATTTGGTATTTTTTTACTTTTTTTTATATTTTTTTTTTTAGTTTTTAAGTATCTGTGCTTCCCTTTCTTGAGATAAAAGTTTAACGAAAACCTAATTCTATTCTTTAAAATAAAGTACATCGTAGTTTAGTTCGCTTATTTAGTTTAAGTTATCGAGAAAATTAATTTAAAAAAAAATCATCGTAAAAAAATTTAAGACTGTATACCAGGGGTTGTCAACTTTTGAAATATAATATGTCTCGATAGGTCGTTAATTTCGTTGTCGGTGACTCAGTGGTTAATCAGTTGACTAGCAATCTGCAGGTCCTGGGTTCGAATCCCGCCATGTACCAATGTGTTTTACATTTCCGATTTATATATGTACATTTATCCGACGTTCTTACGGTGATGGAAAACATCGTGATGCTGCACATATCTGAGAAGAAATTCAAAGATATGTGTGAAGTCAACCTGCACTTGACCAGCGTGGTTGACTATGACCTAATCACCATTAACTTAGGGTAGACTCCGAGCCCCTCAGTGGGGACGTATAGTGAGATGATGATGATGTCGTTAATTTAATTTATCTGATATTGAATTGTAACATAAATTGATTTCAAAAGTGATTATTTTTATATAATTAATACTAATTTTTGTGTAAAGAAAAATACAAAAATATTTTTTAAACGATTTCCGTATTCTGGTGGTAGACTGTCCAGACGAAATTAAAAAAAAACAGTAGTAGTTTATCTTTCAGACTATTTTTTTTGTAATATTAGCAGATTTTTTTGTAAATTTACTAATATTTGTTTAACCATTCCAACTAACCTCTAGACTTGTGCTAGGATATGGTTTACGACAATAGTCGTATGGAGGGATTCGAATCCCCGACCTCGTGGTCGGAAATCCGTAACCTTAACCATTAGGCTATTGACGCTATGTTCTACATCTATAACAAAATTCATCTAGATCTATACAAAAATTCTGGAGGATACATTCTAACAAACATCTAAACATTCGCATTTATAATTTTAGTAGTAATTACAATGTGTTATAAAATTGTTTACGACCCCTGCTTTTAAAATAATTTAGTTTTATAAGATGACCAAAAAAAAATGTCTTGTTTTATTTCTTCCAGCTGCAGCACAACAATATTGCAATTGTAAAGCAAATTGCAAGAAACATAATTACGATATGTCAATTTTATTCCTTAAAAATTATAAGTAGATAGATGTTGTTGAAAATAATTGTCGTTTTTATAAAAAAAATAAATTATACCAACTCAATAAATGGATAGGCTATCACTTAGTATTTTGTGCCTATTTGATTGCCGCCATGTTGGATCTTAACGTATTATCACGTTAGGACCCGTTCACACATGGTCCGTTTTACTGATACGTTAAAACGGATACATGCTCTATTCACACATAGGCAACGCATAACGTTCAACGAATCCGTCATTACTGGATCCGATGTTTGAACAGAAAACTTCTCTACGTAATAGAAAATGCGAGTCAAAATCTATCGCATCACTCCCCCTCCTACACCCCGCACACACCGCTCGCCACGCACACAGTACCTATCCTTTAAAATTTTATGTTCGATGACAAAACGGAATGTATTTTTTTTTTACGGAACGTAATTTTTTACTGTACTGTGCCATGTGTGAAGTCGCTCATACAACTGCATACGGCATCGACGAAAAAAACGTACACGATAAAACGGAACAGTAAAACGGAGACATATGTGAACCGGTCGTAAGGAACAAAAACTATAAATTCCAGCAATCGCCTATCCATTTATAGAGAACATTAGACTTAAATAAGAAATAACCGCGAAAATTTTTTAACGAACGTAATATCCCGCCATTTTTTTCCATAATGACAGTTGTCATTTTTGACAGTTTTTGACCAGTATTTTTTTTTTAAATTAAATCGGTTCGGTCTATATTGTAAGGAATATGTTAATCAGTATTAAAAGTATTTTCTCGATGTTTTAAAATTAAGAACGCAAATGTATTAGCGTTTGTATTAGATAGGCATATAATAAGGGAACGTACACATACTACGTGATCTGTTTAGGGG